TTTTAATATTTGGCTGTTTACATGTTACCAAATGATTTTTTTTTTTCAAAATAAATATATAAAAATATTGTCTTGAATTTTTTTTACTATTTTTCCCCATTAGTAAACACAGTAAAGGATACACTTATATATTTTTTAATTTGATTAAAAAAATCAGGCTTTTAAGGGTTAAAAGTGTTTGTAAACAAGTCTATTTAAATAACGATGATTCGAATTTAAATAATTTGGATAAATTGTGTAGTTATATTTTTATTTTTTCATTCAATATAATTACCATTGTTTTCTCATTGTGATTATTTCTTGTAATTGTTTGTTTTTTTTTATACAGCTTAGAATGGCAAACAAGCTGACGGCCCACCTGATGGAAAGTGGTAACCGTCGTCTATAGACATGAGCAGTACCATGGACATAACAGAGTACACTGTTTCGCCCATGATACCCACCATGTGTTGCCATTCCTGAGGACTCAGGTGTTATTCCTCTGTACGCAGTAAATTCACGCCATATCCCACCCTTCAAACCGAAACAGAGCCATGCAAACACAACTGCTTCACGGTTGAAACACGAACGGGACAGAGGTACACAAGCAATCGACTTTTGTACAAAGTCTCCCTCTGGTATTGTATTTATAATAAGTTTACTATTGTAATCTTATGGAGGAAACAATAAAGATTTATCTATCTATCTACCATATGTAGATTTTTAGGGTCCCGTATCTCAAAAGAAACAACACAACCCTTATAGGATCATTTTGTTTACCGTCTGTCTGTCCGTCTACCAAAGCTCTTCTTGAGAACGCGTGGTGGTATCAAGCAGAAATTAATATCAAATGCCCAAGTCTACAATACCTTGAAGTTGTTTATTCGAGTGAGATATTATGTGTAGAGATGTGGACTACTAGTCCCATTGCTAGCAATATAATAGCTGAAAGGGTTTCAGGTCGACCTCCACGTGCTCCCCCCTAGAAACCATCGTGCGAAATTCCAGGTGTATTCATCACGATGGGCTAACTGACCTACCTTATCGTCCTCACCAAACATCCCTCAGTGGTGCCCCGCCAGCGTATACCGTTAGCGCAGGCGGGGTTACCATTCCATCTTTACCCTAATGGGTAAAAAATCATTCCTTTTCTAATGAATCTATAAGCATGAGAGAACCGCAAAGGGAAATAGCCCGCGAAGGCGCGAACGCCATTTGCTTTTTATAATTTTTAATGAACAAATATCAAATTTCTTACTGCTGTTATTTAATTTTTAACGGACTTAAAAAAAATGGAGGTTTCCTATTCTTTTCTTTTAAATATTTGTTACCTCATAACTCTTGTGTTGTAAACCATTTTTTTCTAAACGGATATACTTATAGATACCCATAGAAGTTTTATTAAAATCGTTTAAGTAGTTTAGTTTTTTTAAGGAAATACAGTAAACGCTCTATATAAGCAACCTCTCTATAAGCAACATTCTTTATATTTTATTTATTCTACTCAGCTTAGTTAGTAAAAGAAATAAGGAAAAATATTTTCCAGACGGTAAAATATTTTTATACTCCTTTTTTCCCTATAAGCAACTTTTCCCAATAATATTTTTATTTATTGAAATTAGTTCAAATAAGTCACTTATGAGCGTTCACTGTAACTGGTTTTGCCACATTGGTAGTCGACTTTTTTTTTGGTTGTATGTTCAAACATAACATGGTTGAACATAACCTTAATTATTTTATTTATAAAATACTTATTCTGTTACTATTTTTAAAGTAATCGACATAAAATAACACTCTGCTTGTCTTGATAGTATTATATTTTACAGTTCCCTTCTCTTACACGTTCCGAACACGACTGCCCTTTCCAAAAGGGTATCGCCATTTTTATATTCATTGATTAGGACTACCACCGAGTCGTTGAATGACTAATAATTATTTTGTAAAATAATTAATTATTATGAAAATAAATTGATAATATTTTATAAAAAAAAATGTGTATAAAAATTATTAAATACGAAAATATAATATTTATAACGTAATTTACAATTATTAATTGATTTTTTTTTTAATACATTCAACATAAATAGTAACTAACTAGGCAAAAGAATCACTGACAAAATGGCAGTTCATATTAGATACAAAATTAACGTAATCTTACACTACACCAGAGGGAAACTTTGTACAAAAGTCGTTTGCTTGGGCTCCTTCGTCCCATTCGTGTTTCTACCGTGAAGCAGTTGTGTTTGCATGGCTGTGTTTCGGTTTGAAGGGTGAGATATGGCAGTGAACTTACAGGCTACAGAGGAATAACAACTGAGTCCTCAGGAATGGCAACGCATGGAGGGTATCATGGGCGAAACAGTATACTCTGTTATGTCCATGGTACTGCTCATGTCTATAGGCGACGGTTACCACTTTCCATCAGGTGGGCCGTCAGCTTGTTTGCCATTCTAAGTTGTATAAAAACAATTCTAGTCATTACCAACACTATGCCAGCGTCATAGGGAATGTCTGAATGTCACTTTTGTCATGTCAATTTGTCACGTCAAACCTAACATTCATTATCGATAAAAAATATAGATAGATAGATAGATACTCTTTATTGTTTCCTCCAAAAGATTACAATAGTAAACTTATTATAAATATAAATAATTACATATATATACTAGCTGATCCCGTAAACGTTGTTTTACCACTTATTGCGAAATATAAAAATCGCGATTAAAATACAGGGGTTGATCGTAAAACGGTGAAAATTTAAAGTTGTATGTATTTTTCAATGCTAAATTATAATAAAGTAAAAATAAAAAAAAATTGTCAAAAAAATAAAAAAAAATATTTTGGGGTGGGTCACCCTTATCATTGTGGGGTATAAAAAATAGATGTTGGCCGATTCTCAGACCTACCTAATATGCACACAAAATTTCATAAAAATCGGTAAAGCCGTTCCGGAGGAGTTTGGTAACAAACACCGTGACACGAGAATTTTATATATAAGAATGTATATAATATTTTTTTAATGGATGACAATGGAATGGTAATCCCGCCTGCGCTGCACCTGGCGGGACACCAGTGAGGGATGATAGGTGAGAATGAAAATGTAGGTCAGTTAGTCCATCGTGATGAATTCGATATGAGTCCACCACGATGATTTCCAGGGGGAAACGCGTAGAGGTCGACCTGATAAGGTATATTGCTAGCAATGGAGCTGTTATATCCCCTTTATTAACAATCCTTTCCCCCCACATATAATAAATTTATCAAAAAAGTAACAAAATAGATTCATAGGCATATTTAAAGAGAGGCCGGGTGGGCTATACCCACCAATTATCTGGTGCTCACCCCATGATTAGGAGTCGTGCGTTCAGCTGTAAGCAAGGACATGTTTGAGAGCACATATCGCACCTTTTTTAAGGGACCACGCCTCTTTTCTTGGGAAATAATATTAGATACATATACCAATGGAGAGATTTTGCTTAAAAAAATACAGTGACTGGTTACTTAACAAAATTAAGATTGATAATTACTTATGAACACCGAGATGTGTTTAAATTTAAAAAAAAATAAAAAAAAAAATATTTAATTCAAATTCAAATCATTTTTATTCAAATAGATTTGTTTTTTTGACATTTTTTTTTATAAATGCAGGGCTCGGAAAGTCTATCTGTCGAGAAGAGACCGCAAGAAACCGAACAATTATTTTTTAAAATCTCTGTTAACATTATGTGTATTTATTTTAATTGTACTGTGTCTAAAATTACAATTAAATTCAAGTAGGTAATATTTTAATTCTAGTATCTAACTAGAATTAAAATATTACCTACTTGAATTTATAACTCGGAATTGTGCGTCTGCGCGTCACGAATTTGCTGGGCAAATAAAAATTACAGCTTCAGCCAATCGCCACAAAATTAAAGTGATATGAAAAAAATATGGTAGCAATAACTTCTATTGGTAAAACAAATTATTACATAACAAATAATACCTTTTAGAAGGTTTTTTATAATAATTAACCTAATTACCTAAGTACTTATAATAATATATACCTATTACATAAGTAAATATATAAAATACATAATACATTTATAATATATATTGTAATATTATTTATTTATTTACTTAGGTGTACGTATGGTATTCATATGATTTTTTAACACGAGCGTTTTTTTATTAGATAGTTATATTTCTTGCGCCAAATAGCTACTGTCTTATTCTTTTCTTCTCACCAAGGTTATCTTATCGCTAATATATCGCTATATATATATATATATATATATATATATATATATATATATATATATATATATATATATATAATAAAGAGTAAATAAATAAATAAGAAACTTATTCTCGGCTTCTAAATCTATGTATTACCTAAGAATAAGCCAAGAATGTCTAATTCCTCTCACTTATATATTATTTTATTTAGCCGCGTGTTTTCACTTGACCCCAGTCCAACTTTGGTGAGCTCTTTTAACTGTGACTTCAACTTTAAGCCCACAGAAAAGTCCATATCCCCTAAATATAGAAGGAAGCGTTTTACAAAACGCTTTTCGGGGACTTCAACTTTTCAGACTCGAGACAAGATTTGTTACCGAAACTGGATAGAAAACACACTTGCTAAAAGTCGCCTAGTATTCTGATTTTTTTTATGCAACTTAGAATGGCAAACAAGCTAACGGCGCACCTGACGGAAAGCGGTAACCGTCACCTATAGACATGAACAGTACCATGGACATAACAGGGTATACTGTTTTGCCCATCATACTTCCTAAGCATTACTATTCCTGATTACACCTACGTCAGGCGTTATTCCTCTATACCCTGTAAATTCACTGTCATAGCCCACCCTTCAAACCGAAACAGCCATGCAAACATAACTGCTTCACGGTAGAAACACGAATGGGACAGAGCTGTCCAAGTAAACGACTCTTGTACAAAATCTCCTTCTGTTTAATTCTGGTATTCTGATTTATAGGTATAATTTTTAATGTAAATTTCTTTGAAAGCTTTATCATTACCTGATTGTTGATAGTCCGATTTCCCATCGGCAAACTCGTGGAGATCTTCTATTGTTGAATTTTCCACATCAACAGGCTCCGAACTCACTGTGCTCGCTCCATCATCATCATCAGAAGCACAATTCACATCACTTTCTTTAAAACTTGCGAAACAATCCAAATTGACACTGCTCGTCGAAGGATTTACTTTTTCACTATCCGTATTAGTTTTTTCCTTTGCCTGACCGTATTTCTCAAATTTACCTGCAAGGAGGTTGTCAATGGAAAAAGTCAATTTCGTTTCTGTTCTTTCGATTTTCGTATCTTCCTCTTTATCGTCGACATCCATCGACGATTCTGTTTCGTGCGTACTCATTTTAATTTTTTTTTTTAATTTTTTTTAATCGTCCGCGTTATATCGAGTCAAAGGACACTATGAACAACAGATTTCTCTTCACGTCACATCCAAAATCAGGTAGGAGAGGGAGTATTAACTGACACGCAATAATTTAATCCAATTCGAAGCTTTAACGATCCGTTTTTGTCAAATTGGATCGCTGAAATGACTGCGCCGAGAATGTTAACTGCCTCTTCTGTGGAACATCATGATTTGTACCCGAGTTTCTGTCCCTATCTCTACAGTATTAAGGTTCAGAATGCCGTCAAATTTCATGCACTTGTTTCTTAAGATGTGTCTGAACAGAATGAAGATGGAAAGCTTCGGCTAATGGGCGTCTTTTCGGATGACACTTTTGTTCACCGTATTTAAAAGCATCAACTACGATTTTCAACTTTATAGTGTTGTTTATAAAGTTTATTTCTTGTCGTGCAGCGTTAAACGTTGCAAATAGCTATTTGGAATCTCATCTGTGTTATAATTAGAGTGGAGCCAATGGGAGTCGGTGGGTGTGTCTGGATCGAGAACGGATGCGCGCGCGCCTCTTTGTACATCAAATTGGAATTTATTTAAGGATCCCCGTGAGATATGTGCGCGTTCATTAATTGTGATAATTATTTAGTTAGTTTGTTTAATTGGACGCGTCATGTGGTTGAAATAGAACACGAGTTGGCATGGACGGATTTATTGTAAGTCGCGACTGTTTAATTGATTTATTCGGGTAACAGTATAATGATCAACTGATTTGGTGGACTTTTTAAATGATTATATTTTCAACTGATTTCAAAAAGAAGGTAATTCTCAATTCGGTTGTTTTTTTTATTTTTTATTTTTGTTACCTCATAACTCCGTGCCTTTTATACCAATTTATTTTTTATTTGAAATTATATACTTACAGATTCATCCCATAGACATTTTATCAGAATCAATTCAGTAGTTTAGATTTTAGAAGGAAATAACTGGTTTTGTCACAATTGAACTCGGTTTTTTTGGGGTGCACAATTTTTTATTATGTGGCAACGTAACGATTCTCAAACGACTTCAAAAAAAAAAGTTCTTAATTTGATTGTATTGTTTTATGTTTCATCATCATCATCATCATATCAGCCATAAACTGTTCACTTAAGCATTAGAATACCACAAAGAACACTTCCACCCAAGCTACTTGCATCCGTTGGCTCTTTGCACTGCATTCGAGGTTGTCGCTCTATCTAGTGGGGATTCATCCTATACTGTATTTGCCTCTATGGAGTCGTTACTTGAGAACCTTTCTTCTCCATCGGCTGTCGATTCTTCGATCTATGTGGCCAGCCCTTTGCCTCTTCAGCTTGCTTGTTCTTCAGGCTATTTCGGTTACTTTGGTCCCTTTGCAGATTCTCACTTGGGAATCTATCACACAAAAAAACTCCGCGCATAGCTCTTTCCATAGCTCGTTGAGCAACTTGAAGCTTCTGCATATGTTTTTTTTTTAATTATTTTTGTTACCTAATTACGTTACTCATAAACCGATTTATAGTTTTTTTTTTTTTTTTTGAAAGGATATACTCTCAGGTTAGTTCCATTAAAATTTTATTAAAATTAGTTGAGTAGTTTAGTTTTTAAATCAAATTAACTGGATTTACCATAATTAAAGTCGATGTTTTTTTGTAAAACCTTAAATTATGATTATTCTTTTTGTGTAATTACTAAGTATGGAAACATAACACCATGGTCCTTAGAAATGACACGTAGAGGTGGGTGGGTGACCCACGATGCTGTCCATATTTATAAGCGATAGTTAACTCTTTCCTCTAACTGGCCGTTAGCATGTTCGCCATTTTAGAATGGCTAACATAACAATATTTAGGTATTATAAAAAAATATAATAATTATATAACTTTGCAATCACTTTGTATCTAGTAGACATCTCGTCATAACGAAAAAGTTAGTTTAATCGTGAACTCTGACGAAATTAAAGTAATTTGCTATTTTACGAAATGTAGATGTTAACTCATATAATTGATGCGCTTCGTAGAAAAATATTATTAAAAGTCTAAATAAGCGAAACCAACCATGAAAAATTGCCATTTCACAATATATTAGCAAAAGCAAGATTTTAAAACTGTAACAAATGTTTCTTATAACAAAAACAATAAATAACGCAAAACCGCGCGCCCTTTCATTCAACCGACATATTTTGTCATAATTAGCGCGTTCCTTTATGGCGCTAGTTTTTTTTTCTCTACTTTTTTTTCATAGTTGATTGATGCTCTGCGTTATGAATAAACTGCCATGTTAGGATTACGGTGAACTTGTATGCGGTTTTGCACATTATTTCAAGGGACTCCTAAAAGGAAAAAGTTCTTGATTAGCCTATTTTTTACGGTTAATTAAGTGGATATATGTTAACTTACAATTATGGCAATACCAGTTATTTTGTTTAAAAAACTAAACTATTTGACCGATAAAAATTCTATGGGACCGATATGTAAGTAATCGTGTGTTCTTTCAGATAAAAAAATGAATTTTCCAAATCGGTTTACTACTGACGAAGTAATTTGGTAAGAGACATGAAAAAAAATACAATCGAATTGAGAATCTCCACCTTTTTGTAGTCGATTGAAAAAAGCTAAAGAAAAAATAATTCTGTAGTCCTTTGTTTTTTTTTTCTATCCAACTTAGAATAGCAAAGACTAACGGCCCACACGGATGGAAAGCGGTAACCGTCGCCTATAGACATGAGCAGTACCATGGACATATATTTATTATTATTTATTTAAGGACAGCCAATGAAGCATACATTTAAATCAACTTATAATACTGAGGAGAAAGGGATTGTTAACAATGGAGTTTGACAGCCCCATTGTTAGCAATTTGCTCTATTAGGTCGACCTCCACGTGGTTCCCCCTGGAAACCATCGTGAACAATTCTTATTGAATTCGTCATGATGGGCTCACTAGGGCAGTGAGCTTCATCATCCTCACCTATCATCCTTCACTGGTGCCCCGCCGGTGTATACCTATAGCACGGGTGGGGTTGTCATTCCATTATCACCCATTAAAAATAAAACACAACTCAAAATACTTGATAACAGGTAGGTATATATATTTCTTATTCTAATAGTTAGGATTCGTGTTGATTCCATATTTATGATGATTGAAACTAAACTACCGTTTTATTTCAGAGTAGAAAGTTTGCTTGATTTTCCAAACTAATCTGTCTACGAAACGTCTACGTAGGTATCGTGGAGGACGATGTAACAGGATATAAAATGAAGCCACTTATCACAATTATTAACAATACCTTCACACCGGGGGGAAAGGGGTTGTTAGTAATGGAGATTGAGAATCCTATTGCTAACAATATACCCAACCAGATCGACCTCCTCGCGGTTCCCCCTGGAAACTATCATGGTTAATTCCTGATGAATTCATCATGATGGGCTAACTGGCCTGTTTTCATTCTCATCTATCACCCTTCACTGGTGCTCCGCTAGCGTATCCTGTTAGCGCAGGCGGGGTTACCATTCCATTATCACCCTTTAAAAAAAAACCTTCACTCCTGCCGAGATTTTTTCTAGAGGCTACAGTATGGGGTTCTTCAAAAAGGGTATATTAAGGTTTCTTCAGGGTCAGCAACGCGCACGTGACATACCTAGTGTTACAGGCGTCCATAGGCTACAGTGACCGTTTACAATCAGACGGGCTGTATGCTTGTTTGCCACCTTTGTGGTATAAAAAAAGCCCTAAATATATAATACTTACAGTTTTACATTTACTTAATAAAAATATTAAAAGTTTAATATGTAAAGATTTTTTTTACAACACAGGGGGCAAACAAGCATGCGGCTCACCTGATGGTAAGTGACTACCGCCGCCCATGATCACCCACAACACCAGCGGCATTGCAGGTGTGCTGCCGGCCTTTAAAAAAGGAATATACTCTTTTCTTGAAGGTTATGTTGTCGTATTGGTTCGGAAATACTGCTGCTGGAAATTGATTCCAAAGAATGGTTGTGCGTGGAAGAAAGTGCCTTGAAAAACGCACGGTGGAAGACCGCCACTTGTCCAGATGGTTGAGATGAAAGTTTAGTTTGTGTAAAGATAGGGGGAAGGGATTGTTCGTAATGCGAACTACCAGTCCCGTTGCTAGCAATATCTTTCAGGTCCAACCTCCACGTGGTCCTCCCTGGAAACCATCCTGCTGAATCCCAGGTGTATTCACGATGGGCTAACTGATCTGCCTTTTCATTCTCACCGGTCATCCCTCACTGGTGCCCTGCCAGTGTATACCGTTAGCGCAGGTGAGATTTTTTTTTAATGGATGATAATGGAATGGTGACCCTGTTTGCGCTATCGGTATACACCGGCGGGGCACCAGTGAAGGATGATAGGTGAGGATGAAGCAGGTCAGTTAGCCCACCACGACGAATCTAACAATAAATCAATCACAATGGTTTCCAGGGGGAACCACGAGAAGGTCGACCTGACAGGGCTAATAATCCCCATTACTAACAATCCCTTCTTTCCCGCGCAGGCGAGGTTGTCATTCCGTTATCATCCATTAAAAGAATATGTAAAAATATAAATACAGGTCCTTTATCACCCCACGGAACCCAACTAGGAGATAAATATTTGACAGTTCAGTGTAGGCAACCGTTTCCGCGTTGTTTGACATGGAACCCGCGACCTGCGGTTGAAATCGTTTCGGTATGCGACCCCGGCGCCTCTAATTTACGCTGCGTCGCTTAATTAGTTAATAAGCTGTAGGCAATTATTTTTGGTGTATTGGAAACATATGATTTTAACTACTATTACATTTGGTTCGATTTTTAATAGCTAACTTATGTAGGACACAGTTTGATTCGATATTTAAAAATGTTCAATTGTTTTTAAAAATTGACAGATGAACGCTCATGACAAGACAGTGTGCTGATTTTTAATAGTGGTATATTTACAAATTATTTATTTATTTTATTTATTCATTAGTACAAATATATGTACACGGCGGACTTAATGCTAAAAGCATTCTCTCCCAGTCAACCGTAGGGAAGTGTCAGAATACTCGAATGCGGTACTAGTAATTGTTGATATACATACATACTAAAATTACATATATAAACAAATAAATATATATGAATAACAAATATACTTACACATATATGACATATACTATATTATACACGAAATTAAGAATAATATAAAGCACTTACTGCTCGGATAAAGTAAAAAAGTAAGCGTAAACGTTTTTTTTTGAAAGACTGTTCAGTCGGTACTCTCTTAAACTTAAAGAAATTCGTACCTTGAACCTTGTTCCTTGAACAGTAAGGGAACTCTTCAAAGATTGGTAGTAAGAATTAGCAGAATTGTCAGTAGATTTCACTTATACAGTTTATAAGGTTCAAACAAATAACACAATATATATATACGAGGTCTGTCCGGAAAGTTCGTATAAAAGTGTTCTGGAATGCGAGAAAGAGGAGTGGGGAGGCCAGGTAAGCGCAGGACCCCTTCCTTATGTCCCTAACAATGCTTCAGTTCTGGTCTGACCGCCGTGCGGTGCGAACTGGCTTGTCACGCCATCTGTGAAGTTACCTCTTAACGAAACCCCGTCGGCATGGAGCCCGCTTCCGTTGAAGAGCAGCGCGTCGTAATCAAGTTTCTCTCGAAACTCGGCAAGAATGGCCGTGAAATTTTTGCCGATCTCAGAACAGTTTATGGGGATGATGCTGTGAAGGAACCAACCGTCCACAAGTGGCTAAAAAGATTCAGAGAGGGCCGAGAAAGCGTTCAAGATGACCCACGTTCAGGACGTCCTTCCACTTCACATTCCGACGAAAACGTGGAAAGAATTCGAACTTGTGTTAATGGGGACCGTCGTTTAACGGTCAGACAGGTGGCTGAAGAGCTTAATTTGGGCAAAACCGTGGTCCACGAAATTCTAAGAAACGAACTTCAAATGAAAAAAATTTGCGCCAAGATCGTTCCGTGTATATATATATATATATACGAGGTTTGTCCGGAAAGTACGTATAAAAGTTTTTTAAAAATTTTATTTTACAATTATTCAGGTAAATCAATTTTATCCCCTTCAAAGTACTCCCCCTGTGACATAATGCACTTGTGCCAACGCCGTTTCCACTGTGAGAAGGCTCCTTGAAAGTCCTCTGGTTGTAGGTTTCTCAGCTGCCCCGTCGTAGCTTTTTTTATCTCATTTATGTCCCCCAAATGCCGCCCCCGAAGTACCAATTTGGTTTTTGGGAACAAGAAGAAGTCACACGGGGCCAAATCCGGCGAATAGGGGGTGTTCGGTCACCGTAATGGAATTTTTACTCAAAAACTCACGGACAACAAGAGAGGTGTGGGCAGGGGCATTGTCGTGGTGAAGAATCCAACGCCCCTCTCGCGCCAATTCTGGACGAACTCGTGCCACACGAGCTTTGAGGCGTCTGAGCACATCGACGTAGAATTTTCCATCAACTGTCTGGCCTGGAGGGACGAATTCTTGATGGACAATCCCCCGAACATCGAACTCTTTCTCGGCCCTCTCTGAATCTTTTTAGCCACTTGTGGACGGTTGGTTCCTTCACAGCATCATCCCCATAAACTGTTCTGAGATCGGCAAAAATTTCACGGCCATTCTTGCCGAGTTTCGAGAGAAACTTGATTACGACGCGCTGCTCTTCAACGGAAGCGGGCTCCATGCCGACGGGGTTTCGTTAAGAGGTAACTTCACAGATGGCGTGACAAGCCAGTTCGCACCGCACGGCGGTCAGACCAGAACTGAAGCATTGTTAGGGACATAAGGAAGGGGTCCTGCGCTTACCTGGCCTCCCCACTCCTCTTTCTCGCATTCCAGAACACTTTTATACGAACTTTCCGGACAGACCTCGTATATATATATATATATATATATATATATATATATATATATATAAATGAACACACAATATCACTTGATGTTTAAATAAAATAATATTTAAATCACCTACTAATTTTCTATTTTCGTAATAAACGACAGTCAACAATTGCTAGGCAACACGCAATAGGTGTCACACCGCATTTAAAATTTGGAACCAACCAAAAAGTATTAACACTTAATATCATCAGGAAGCGCGTTCCAGAGTCGTGAAGAATGTAGGAGAAAAGAGTTTAAAGCGCAACCAGTACGATGAGAGGGGATAGATAGTTGGAGAGTATTATTGAAACGAAGGTTACGATCGTGAGTTTCAAAAAGATACTGAAATTTACTCCTTAAGTAGTTAGGAGACTGGGGGTTTCGAAGAAGACTGTAGAGGGTACAAAGAGTTCTAACGTTTCTGCGTTTACGAATGGAAAGCCACTTGAGCTGAGACCGATATAAAGAAATGTGATCGAACGAGAATAAGTCTGTAAATTATTGATGTCTATTAATTCCTCTCTTTCTGCCTTTATATTCTTACTTATCATCTCTCATTGGTGCTCCGCCAGCGTATACCATTATTTTTTTTTTTAAATTTATTCATGACCATGGATACAAGTCCTTCAGTCGCAGACATAAATGATATTTGCGTATACCATTATAACAGATGGGGTTGCCATTCCATTATCGTCCATTATAAAAAAAAATAGTGAAACGTGTTTATCATAAATGCCAATTATCAAATAAAACTCAAAATTCTTCAGATGTTTAACATTGCTTGTTTTGTCGATGAGGCGGGGACGAACCAAAAATTTGTTATAAAAAATGTTTACCACAAATATTTATGACCCGGAACTTAGCATGTAACTTGCGTGTCTTAGCTGCCGAGATATGAATTTATTCAAACAAGTATAATGTTTAGATAGATGAATAATTTATTTGTATTACTTACAGCACACAAATTATAACATATACATATATGTATATGTTTATGATTTAATAACATATGTTTATGGTTCTTATATATAAGAAAACAAGAAAATCAAAATCAATATTGTTGTTTTAATAATTCCAGACATAAGTGTGGTCATTGCAACCGATTTATTTACCTAGAAAGAAAAAAAATCATTTATTTGTTTTAATTATATACTATATATTTTAAAATTTATAATCTGATATCCCTTACTAGTTTGTATTCGCACAAATTCACTATTTATATTGTTAAACTTTTTGAAAAAAGCAACAGCTGAGTTTCATGTCCGTTCTTCTTGGCTGAAATTGCGTTCCAAACGGGCGGTAATAAAAAAATTACTAATAATGCTTAAATGTAAGTTTACTTGAATAAAAACATTTCTTTCTTACCACAGATAAGGCAACTACAGAGTATTTTTAAATTAATCACAATAAGTATATACTATCTAGAATTCATTGAAAATTTTTCAAGCGCCACTGTTTGCGAAATTGATACACGAACATGTAATCCATAGATTAAGAATATAACGGTTGATTACTACAAGCTGTCATTCGTTTTTGACTTTGAGTTTTTCTTGATGTTGTGTGTCACTAGTGTCTTAACTGTCACTGTCAATTCGATTCACTTTTGTTCCCAGTTCACAATTGCGATCTTGTTATATTGTTTTGAGACCATGAATAGAATAATAATTATGATAATTTAGCGTATTATAACTTAAATACCGTACTAATTAACTGTCACTTTTATCTTTACTTATTGATATCAATATACAGTTGAGATAATTTATTTTATAATCAGATTTCAGTAGTACTCTAAAGTTCTATGCTACTGAAGAATTATTACTATTTCCTGTTGACGAAACGAATATGTTTACTGTTTATAATACGGTCTAACGTCTAACGTTGCAACGTAACAATCATGGTAATGCCTTGGACTACATAATAAATAGTTATGAGTTAGAATTTTGTCATTCAAAATGCGGGTGAATATAAAGAAACTACTGATTATTTGTGCCGTTTTAGTGTTGTTATGGTTTATTGTGTCCCATTCATCAATAATAGAGTTACCAAAGACGGTTTCCAACAAGCATAGTTTGTTAGATATTGAAAATAAGATAGATCATTTACAAGAACAAATGGACAGCCAACTGAGTGAAAGTCGTATTTTGTTGGATAAAGTAAAGGAACATTTGAAGAAAGTTAGGGTTAATGATGGCGTGAAGGATAGCAGCAATGAAGGGAACTTGATGCCAGGTAAGTTTTTTTTAATGCAACTTGGAATAGACAATAAGTTACTGATCTACTTGATAGAAAGTTGTGACTGTCATCTTTAAACATGAACAGCATCACAGAGATCACAGGATGCACTGTGACAGCTGTATTACAATTTCTGAGGACTTTATTATGCAGTCTCCCTAGCCTGTGATTTTTTTGATGGGTGGTAATGGAATGGTAACCCTGTTTGTGCTAACGATGGAGCCTCAGTGAGGGATGACAATTAAAAATTAATTCAGGTTATTTAGTATATCATAATGAATTAAGTATAATGGTGAGACAGGCGTGACAGATATGTATGTATGTATAATGGTTTCCACTAGAAGGTCGGCACGACAGGAACTATTGCTAGCAATGGGGCTACTAATCCCCATTACAAACAATCCCTTCCCCTCTTGCCCTACCATATGATTTCGTTATCATTTCATATTTCATTCTTCAGTTAGTTAGAATTATAATCACACCAAAATGCAGCTATGCAAGAACAGTTGCTTGACAGCATATACATGAGTGGGACAGAAGTATCCAAGCGAGCAATTTTTGTACAAAGCCTCCCTTTGGTAAAATATTTTCTTATCTAAATATGGATTGCTGGAAAACTTAATGATTAATCAAAGATTGTGTCCCACAAAAAACTAACTTTAATTGTGACAATACTAGTTATTTCCATTTAAAAAGTACTAAACCGATTTTGATATTATTTCTAGGGGACAAATCTGTAAGTATATCATTTTAAATAAAGAAAGAATTTTCCAAATGGGTTTAAAACTGACTGAGTTATGAGGTAAAAAAAAATACAACTATATTAAAAATATTCTTTGTTTTTTAACTCCCTTGAAAATCAATATTATTTATAGCTGCTTAGATAAAGTGCTGTGACTGATGGTCAGGTAGACAGGATAGCATCATAAGGCTTCTATATTATCAATAAAATAAATACAAAAATAAAAGAGTAACAAGTATCCATTCATTATTACACAATGAATGAATATTTGTTACTCTTTCACACAAAAACTACTTAATGGATTTGAATAAAAATGGGTACAGGGGTAGGTTTTTTTCTCAATGGGTAATAATGGAATGGTAATCCTGTCTGCACTACCGTTATATGCTGGCAGGGCACCAGTAAAGGATGATAGGTGAGAATGAAACTGCAGGCTAGTTAGTCCATCATGATGAATACACTTAGAATTCAGTATGATGGTTTCTAGGGGGGACCACATAGAGATTGACCTGATAGGGTATATTGCTAGCAATAGGGTTGTCAGATCCTCATTAATAACAATCCCTTTCCCCCTACATAGGTAGGTTATACCCTAACTTAGTACATAGAATATTTTATATACCAATTCTCCCATGTGACGCCACGAGATACAGCTAATACTGATTAAGATATAGTAATATATAAAAACCGTGTGGTCCCAGCATAGAATGGGCAACCCCTTCCTTTCTCTTATGTGTCGTAAGAGGTGATTAAGGGACGGCAAGAGATGAACAATAGGGTCCCTCTTTAAACATCACTAAAAGCCTAATTGTGGTTGCCAACCTGCCTGTCAAGTGTAGCAACTACCAGCCAAAACTCCCCTTATAGGGAAGGCTTAGACAATTAACAGCTGAAATAAAAATAAAATGTATAATATAAAAACAAGATAATAATATTTGTGAGGGTTTATTAAAAGCAAATCTTTATATTTTCTTTTAAAGAAACTATGTCGAGAAATAATTTTGTTTGTGCATGTGAGCGCAGTTAGGCCATTATCCACACAGCATAATGGATAATTCGTGTACACACTCATTAATGATAATAGTGTTTCCAAAGCCTAACTGCGGTTGCTATTCCGGCTGCCATGCGTGGCAACTTATATATATATATATATATATATAGTTGTAGTGTCTTCCCTGCATAGAATAAGCCACCCCTTCCTTTCCCGTAGGTGTCGTAAAAGCCGACTAAGGGATAGCGAGGGATGGGCAACAGCGGCCCTCTTGAAACATCTCTAAAACCTGACTGCGGTTGCTAAGCGTGGCAACTACTGGCAAAACTCCCCTTATGGAGAAGGCTTATGTCCACCAGTGGACAGTTAAAGGATGATATGTTGATATATACATAGAAAGAACACATACATAGATACATATATTCACATACAACCCGTCACAAACTAAAGTTTCATCCCAATCATCTGGACTGTGGCGGTCTTCCACCGTGCGTTTTTCAAGGCACTTTCTTCCACGCACAACCATTCTTTGGAATCAACTTCCAGCAGCAGTATTTTCGAACCGATGTGACAACATAACCTTCAAGAAAAGAGCATATTCGTTTTTAAAAGACCAGCAGCACACCTGCAATGCCGCTGGTGTTGTGGGTGATCATGGGCGGCGGTAGTCACTTACCATCAGGTGAGCCGCTTGCTCGTTTGCCCCCTGTGCTGTAAAAAAAAACATTAGCTCAATGCAAAAGAAGTTTCAGAATTTTATGTTTGTTTGTTCATTTCAGATACAGCGGATGTAGTTCTGCCCGTGCTGCTTATAGCATGCGACAGGGTCACGGTGAAGCGATGCCTGGACAACTTGGTGAAGTATAGACCAGACAAATATACATTCCCGATTATTGTTAGTCAGGTAAGTACACGTCGAGATGGTGCTTTTTAATGGGATAGTAAGGGAATAGTTTTTAATGGATGATAAAGGAATGGTAATGGTTTGCGCTATCGGTATACGCTGGCGGGGTTTTTTTTTATAGAACTTAGAATGGCAAACAAGACGGCCCACCTGATGGAAAGTGGTAACCGTCGCCTATAGACATGAGCAGTACCATGGACATAACAGAGTATACTGTTTCGCCCATGATACCCCCGTGCGTTGCCATTTTTGAGGACTCAGGTGTTATTCCTCTGTACCCTGTAAATTCACGCCATATCCCACCAAACCGAAACACAGCCGTGCAACACAACTGCTTTATAGTTGAAACACGAATGGGACTGTCCTCCTAGTATGGTAGATAGGAGCACGAAATAATAAACAATTTGAAAACAGTCGAATTAAGACATTAAAACACCTAGATTGTAGTATTGTATTAGAATAGAACAAACATAACTGTCGATTTAGGTCATTGCAGATAAGCCGTTTACAGATAAGCGCTTATGGGCAAGTTATAAAAATGCATAATGAAATAAAGCGATAATATACTTAGCGTAAACGATGTTGTGATACTAAGATTAAACTAATAATTTCCATTATTGTAATTGATTTATTTTATTTATTTATTTATTCATTAGTACAAATATGTGTACATGGCGGACTTAATGCTAAAAGCACTCTCTCCCAGTCAACCATAGGGAAGTGTCAGAATACTCGAATGCGGTACTAGTAATTATTGATATACATACATAATAAAATTACATATATAAACGAATAAATATATATGAATAACAAATATACTTACACATATATGACATATACTATATTATACACGAAATTGAGAATAATATAAAGCACTTATTGATCTGTTTTAAATATGTATATTATATATTTAAAAATTTTATGACCTAATACTGTTTAATAGTTTGTATTCACACAAATTCATTGTTTTTATAATTTAAACTATGAAAAAAGCAACAGCTGAGTTTCTTGTCCGTTCTTCTTGGCTGAAATTGCGTTCCGAATGGGCGATAATAAAAAAAGACTATTTAGTATTGCTTAAATCTAAGTTTCATCATCACCATTCCAGCCATTATCCGTCCACTGCTGGACATAGGCCTCCCACTAAATCTAAGTTTACTTGAATAAAAATATGTATTTCTTTCCTTCTGTCCTAATATGTTCCGTCGTTCATCATATCAGGCGTTAACAGTTCATTGCTGAGGGGAAAGGGATTGTTAGTAATGGAGACTGAGAATCCCATTGCTAGCAATATACCCAACCAGGTCGACCTCCTCGCGGTTCCCCCTGGAAACTATCATGGTTAATTCCTGATGAATTCATCATGATGGGCTAACTGGCCTGTTTTCATTCTCACCTATCACCCTTCACTGGTGCTCCGCCAGCGTATTCCGTTAGCGCAGACGGGCTTACCATACCATTTTCATCCATAAAAAAAACAGTTCATTGCTGAATATGGGCCTCCCCCATAAGAGAGGTTTTGTCAGTCGTTGCCACGTTTGGCAGGCGGGCTAGCAATCGCAGTTAGGCTTTCTTGATGTTTTAAGAAGGACGCTGCTGCTAAAAGTTATTGTAAATGTTTATAATAATAAAAAAAAAATGTGACAATTTTTTTTATTTTATCTTCAAGGACTGCGGTCACAACGCCACGTACCAGGTGATAAAAAACTTCACGAATGCCGACCCCACGATCACAGTGGTGCGGCAGCCGGACCTCTCGGAGATACCGCTGCCCCGCGCCAAGGTCAAGTTCAGGGGGTACTACAAGATTGCGCGCCACTACAAGTTCGCACTGAACCACGTGTTCAACACGCTGGGACACGAAGCCGTGATTATTGTCGAAGGTCAGTTATAATATGCTCACGACCGTAATACCTAATGAGGATTTTTACGTACAACTTCACCCTGTTTATTTATAAATATATTAATATTTGACCTTTTTTAAATATCTATCGTGTTATGTGTTGTGTTTAATATTTTTTTTATACCACTGAGGTGGCAAACAAGCATACGGCCCACCTGATGGTAAGCGATTACCGTAGCCTATGAACGCCTGCAATACCAGAGGTATTTTAATATTATCACTTATTAGGAATAAATGTTTATTTTTTTGTGGATGATAATGGAATGGCAACCTCGCTCGGGGCTTTAGTGAACGATGATAGGTGATGATGAAAGCAGGTCAGTTGACCCACTGTGATGGATTCGACAATAACCTTATTATTTTAACCGTTAACTGTCCACTACTGGACATGAGCCTTCCCCATAAGGTGAGTTTTGCCAGTAATTGCCACTCTTGGCAGGCGGGTTGGCAACCGCAGTTTTAGAGATGTTTTAAAAGGGACGCTGCTGCCCATCCCTCGGCCTCTCTTATTCACCTCTTACGACACCCACGGGAAAAGAAGGGGTGGCCCATTCTATATCAGAGCACATACGCCCCTTCCCTCCGTAATGGGGTAAAAACTACATACATATGTATATACAGCTTTCAATATCTCCGTCATAGATTTCGTCTCTTGTAAAATACTAATAGAATAAATTAAATTTGAATGAATTTAGTTATCATTTCATCTAAACATGACCTTCGCCCATAGACATAAAGACACATAGATATAAAGACTCTCCTGTATTAGTAAGATTTTATAGCGGCAGAGCCCTGACCACCATACGATGATGGTGATGATGATTTGGCCTATATTGCTGTTCGCAGACGACCTGGACATATCGCAAGACTTCTTCGAATACTTCCGCGGCACGTATCCACTATTGCTTAAAGATCCCAGTCTCTGGTAAGCATACATTTTAATACGAATTAAGATTAAATATTTCGAGATTTCGTTTCAAAAACAATAAAAAGAAACATCATAAAATATCAGATTAAAATGGGTGTAAATAGAAGATTTATCAACATCGGTTAATAAATGTAATATGGTATTGTTGTGCTGGGCCCATAACTCGTTAATTGAAATCATGCTCTGCTACCAACAAATGCGGAAACGATATAAACATGATGGGACCAAGTCTTAGGTTATGATTTATTTTAATTATTATTAATCTTTTTCAAACTAGTTTTTACCCGCAACTTTGCCTGCGTGACCATAGCACGTTCATTCATTAATTAAATACAATAAGAAATAGTAGCCTATGTCCTTCCCTATCTCAAATAGTATTTGTATGACAAATTAGTAGCTGTTAAGGCGCCAAGAAGTAACACACAAACAAACAAACTCACTTTAATAATTTTTTTTTATACTACTTAGAATGGCAAACAAGCTGACGGCCAATCTGATGGAAAGTGGTAACCGTCGCCTATAGACATAAACAGTACCCTGGACATAACAGAATTAACTTAGTAAAAATGTCGAAGTAAGTTTGCTTGTTAGAATAGTAACATAGCATTTTTTATATACCAATTCACATGAGTGACGCCGTGGGATATAGCTAGTAAATAATAAAATACTACCCAGGTGTATATCGGCATGGAACGACAACGGCAAGAAGGATGTGATAGACATGACCAGGCCCGAGCTGCTGCATCGCACCGACTTCTTCCCGGGGCTGGGGTGGACCCTACGCCGGGACACGTGGCTCGAGCTGGAGCCGCGCTGGCCTGAGGCGTAAGTATCAGATGCCAGGGTAACTGAACAAGATAGGTAAGAATGAAGTTAAGATTAAGTAAGGAACTGGGATGGTTCTGCGCCGTGGCTTCATTTCAAACTGCGCTAGTCTGGAGCATGAGTATCAGACTCCAGGATGTCAGGAAGGGATGATAGGTGAGGGAGAAGATAATTGGGTACTGTCCAGAACTGCTGTATCTCATCATCTTCTACCCGGGTACGGGATTTTTATGGATGGTAACTCCGCCTGCGTTATCGGTATACGCTGGCGAGACACCAGTGAGGGATGGTCCTGTTCCGTGGTTTCAGCTCAAACTGCGCTAGCCTAGAGCGTGAATATCAGACGCCAGGGTATCAGTGACAGATGATAGGTTAAGGAGAAGTTTATTCGGGTACTGTCAAAGTGTTGCATCGAATCATCATTTTTTGGATTTGGGCTTTTTTATGATGATAATGGTATGTTAACCCCGCCTGTGCTATCGGTATACGTTGGCAGGGCACCAGTGAAAGATGATAGGTGAGAATGAAATATATACATATATATATATATATATATATATATATATATATATATATATATATATATAGTAATTATTATAATTATAAAATTACGTATCATAAGTGTCTGTAACATATGTATATGAATAAAGATGATTGATTAATTGATTCGTTGAGTGATGCGGCTTCAAATTCTGTTGATATTGTAAATTTTATCAATCAATTTATTTCTGTTATTTCTAGATTCTTCGACGACTGGCTGCGCAACCCTGAGAACACACACGGCAGGGCGTGCATCCGTCCCGAGATATCCAGGACGTTCACATTCGGAAAGGTACGTCGATATAGTTTTAATGTTTCATATTTATTATATTTATCTAATGTTATAAAGAGGAAAGATTTTATTTTTCAACCGATTTCAAAAAGAAGGAGGTTCTCAATTCATTTGTATTTTTTTTATGTTTGCTACTTTATAAGTCAATCAATTGTAAACATATTTGATCGATCGATCTCCCTCTGGTAAATATATGTATTAGTATATTTAGCATATGTATATAAATATATATATAGAATTAATTCGCATTTCGCAGGTGGGCGTGAGTAAAGGATTGTTCTACGATATGCACCTTCGTGCGATGCAACTCAACATGGACTATGTGGAGTTCACTAAACTAAACCTCACTTACTTACTCAAGGTATTTGTTACGTTAAAATTATATATAGTAACTAGCTGTATGTTACTTCATTCGTGAACACACGCACACGACCACACGCACGCACGCACGCACGCACGCATCCACGGACACTCGCATTATGAACACACTGTTGAATGAAAAGTCCATAGTAGTTTTTTTAAATAGATATTATACAAAAAATACTAATGTAATTAGTACTTATTTTAATGATGATTATAAAATATATATAATTAAAGAAAAAATATATACAATTAAATACGTAACGTACGTAATAATAATATTTTTATTTTCTATGATTTTATGTATAGAACATTAGATCTTATAAACTAAAAGAAAGAAAATTTACTTGGGTCAGGCGTGCAAATATTTGAAAACAAGTTACAATATATATATATATATATATATATATATATATATATATATATATATATATATATATATATATATATATATATATATATATATTTTTAGAACTATATTTGAAAATTTATCGTATTAGAATTATTATATTCGATTGACATCTTGCAGCCCTATTGCGGGATATAAAAATCGCGCTTAAAAAACATATAAAAATAAAAAAACTTGTCAAAAAAATAAAAAAAAAATTTTTAGGGGTGGGTCACCCTTATCATTGAAGGGTGTAAAAAATAGATGTTGGCCGATTCTCAGACCTACCGAATATGCATACAAAATTTCATGAAAATCGGTAAAGCCGTTTCGGAGGAGTTTGGTAACAAACACCGTGACACGAGAATTTTATATATTAAATATATTTGAAAAAGCAGTACCCTATCAATTAGAAAATGTATAATTAAAATCGGTTCAGAATTGGTGACGTATTATGTAGATCCTTTTATTATGTAGTCATTAGAAAATACAGTACAAGCGAAAACAGTGCTTGCTTTTAACGTTTTAACATTTAATATTGATTGCCTCGCAGGAAAACTACGACGCAGCCCTAATGTCGACGGTGTATTCGTTGCCCGAGTCGACCGCGGACGAGGTAGTGTCCCTGCCCGTGGGCGGCGACCCTCCCGCCGTCCGAGTGAGCTACTCCAACGCGAAGACTTACCAGAAAGCAGCCAAGAAACTTGGACTCATGGACGATTTTAGAGTGAGTAGTTTGTAGTAGTCCACGACACATAAATTCGCCGTGTGGTCCCGGCGTAGAATGAGCTACCCCTTCCTTTCCTATGTCGTAAGAGCGTCGTAAAAGGCGACTAAGTGAATTTAATGCTCGAGGGATGACCAGCAGCGTCCCTATTAAAACATCACGAAAGCTTAATTGCGGTTGCCAGCCCGTGTGCCAAGCGTGGCAACTGCTAGCAAAAATTCCTAGTGGGGGGAAGCCTATGTTCAGTAGTAGGCCTTTAATAGTTGATATGATGATAATGAATTAGTTACTTTTACTCCAAGATTTACCAGCAAATAACCGGCAAACTTTAGCTCATATATGATTTTGGGATGAGAATTGAAATGAAAACCGCGGCAGTGATAACGTATCTATCGATAGATTAAATCGCCACTTGTTTAGGAGAGGCTGGTCTCTGTGTCTACCTCGTGAAAGACCTGTCGTGAAGATATCGTTTGTTATACAGAGCGGCGTACCTCGTACGGCCTACAGGGGCGTAGTGTCATGCTTCGTTCGCGGCCGTCGGGTATGGCTGGCGCCCGCCGGCGCCTGGCACGGGTACGACCCCAGCTGGGGCTAGCGGACGTCCCGCCGCCGGGGACATGACCCCACTTGGGGCTAGCACCACGCCCGCCACTAGTGACAATCCTATTTGGGTTACACTCCGCATCTTCACCGTCACAAGGTACAACCCTAATCGAGATTCTACATCGCCCGTCTAGTGAACGTACTACTTGGAATTTGACCCAAAGCTCTCCCGGTGAAGTATGACTCCTATTTGGGGTTTGAGTTTACAATGATAACTCTAATTGGATTTGACCCTGTATTTTCGACTCCTAACGACTCACTAGGGTTGTCAAACCCATAAAATTGTTATTTTACACCTAGACGTGAGTAATATCTATACCGTTCTGATATCTATATATTGGGTTTCTCTGGACATTGCTGGTGTAAAAAAAGGTCATCAAGCATTCCAATAATGTCTGTACCAGGCAGATATTCATTTCAATATTATATATTGGATAACTGCTTTTTTAATATATACGTTATTGGGCCAATATATAGTTATTGCTATATATTATACACCTCTAATGGTACCATTGCGGAGATTACACCATTTAGGGTTAGTACCGAACCGGGAACACTAGATGGAGCTACTGTCACAACCTTTGCTAAATATACAATCACTGCCCTATTGGAAAGGACCATAACATTGATTTAATTAAAAAAAAGTGATATTAAAAGAATGTATGTATTACATTTATTAAAAGTGATATTGGAATATGTACTTTATTCCTACTGTAAATAAAGCTGTATATAGACTGAATGTGAGACTGTGTATAAAGTTTAAATTAGCAAGTGTGAAATGACTTGTGGAGATCGAAAATATGCAATAGTAGTTTTTATAAACATTAGGATCGATTCTGAAGCTCTAAACCTATCTCTAAATTTAAGAATTTCACTTTAATATAACAGCCAAGTCTATTTCATCATTATTTCAGCCATTATTCGTCCACTGCTGAACAAGGCCTCCTCTGTAGACTGCCATAAAGAACGGTCCCGAGCCACTGACTCCCTGCAATGCATTTTAGGTCGTCACTCTATGTAGTAGGAGGGTTGTCCTACACTGTATTTGCCCGTACGGAGTCACCATATATCGACATTGAAGTCTATATACCAAGGACCAATATAAACAAAATTTATAATTGATTTAAGTCAAAATTATTTAATTTTTTAGTCTATGATGGTCCATGAAATAGTAATTTCGCGAAATTATAATTTAAAATATAAGTTAATAGGAAAGGTGCTTCAGAATCGATCCCAGTTTCCTTTTAAGCGTTTTATAATTGATCGTAGTACGATATAATATCGTACGATTTTACCGTCGCGATATAATATATATTTTTTTTTTCTGCTTGCCTCATGGTTGACTGGTAAAGGACGCCATTAGATGTTGAGATTGTGACGGTAGAATCCGACGTAACGGTATTATTTCATGATATGTGAATTTATAAACGCGACCAACCACTATCCACTTTAGGTGTTTATATTATTTTTAAAGTGGACAAAGACTTCCATTTTTAGGAATTAAATGCGCTGTGATTCTTAAAGTGTTTATTTATTAATATAATAATATTTCTTGACTAAATATTGTGTGGTATTTAAACATTTTTATAATTTATAAATATCATTTCGTCATTGATATAAAGAAAACACAAGATACACAATCGTACTAAAAATTGTGTACATCGAAAGCAAATATTTAACCAAATTATACACTACTTAATTAAAGTTCCATCCTAACCATCTGGACGAGTGGCGGTCCTCCACCGTGCGTTTTTCAAGGCACTTTCTTCCACGCACAACCATTCTTTGGAATTAACTTCCAGCAGCAGTATTTCCGAACCGATACGACATCGTAACCTTTAAGAAAAGAGCATATTCCTTTTTAAAAGGCCAGCATCACCTGCGATGTCTCCGGTGTTGCGGGTGATAGGGTTTATTAATACCAGAGGGAGACTTTGTACAAAAGTCGATTGCTTGTGTACCTCTGTCTCATTTTTGTTTCAACCGTGAAGCAGTTGTGTTTGCATGGCTGTGTTTCGGTTTGACGGGTGGGATATGGCGTGAATTTACTGGGTACAGAGGAATAACACTTGAGTCCTCAGAAATGGCAACGTATGGGAGGTATCATGGGCGAAACAGTATACTCTGTTATGTCCATGGTACTGCTCATGTCTATAGGCGACGGTTACCACTTTCCATCACGCGGGCCGTCAGCTTGTTTGCCATTCTAAGTTGTATAAAAAAAAAAGTTAAAACGCTTGGCGCGTTGGCAAGCTTTGATAATGTTCACTGCTGTTGGCTGACAAGAAACGGCCACTTTATTTGTTCAATTTAATTTGGGAACAGTTTTAAGTGCCACTTTTGTATGGGATCGTGAATCTTGGTTTTTCCTTTATATCAATGTATTTAAATTTGTATGTCAATACAGGTGTTTACATTTATTATTATATATTATTAAATTTCACAATAATATCAGATTATTGTGATTTTTGCAAGACCACAGTGGTGCAGTGTATAACACACCGTCTTCCGATGGTCACGGGCTCGATGCTCACACAATCCAAACATTTGTATTTAGGAGTGTGTCTGTTTGTATTGATCTGAGTGTTTTCTATGTATATAATATGTATATATTTACAAAAAAGGTATTAAATTATATCTATGGATTGTCTAGTAGGCATAGGTAATATAGATACCGATCTGTATCTGGACACTGATAGCGGGAAAAACTGTCATCACATATTGTACATTCTACAGTTTTCCTTCAGCTTCTCAAAGGTCGACTGTAAGAGATCCCTTTATGGGATAAGTCCGCCATTGTATATTAAATCTTTTAATGTATTCAGTATGAACTATGTAAAATAAAGATTTTACAATACCAATACACACATTTCGATATCGCCCATATCGGTCGGATATCTATTTTCGAATATATCAAAAGTCTGTGTTATTCAAAAAATGTTTTTTGGATAACAGACTTTTATGATAATCGTTATTGAACCACTATATACATATTGTAACTAAAACATATAGATATTGCTATATATTACCTATTCCTATTGTCTAATACACACAGCACAAGCTTAGTCTAAAACTAGATGGCGTTGTGTAATATGGTCTAAAAATATTTATTTATTTTTATTTATTTAACTCTATTGCACATATAAATATATACAATGACAAGTGAATAATTCAAGTGTAATACAGTAACATAAATACAGATTGAAATATACACATAAAGGTACAAAAGGCGGTCTTATCGCTAGGGCGATCTCTTACAGACAACCTTTATATTCATTTAATTTAATCATAATTATTTCAGATTACGGTGATCTTATATAAGTTTTTTTTTTTATTATAATATTTATTTATTTATTTGTCTCACAACTTTTTTTGAGCACAATGAAACATTTAAAATAATACCATAGATACACCAATGTTGTAAAGAATTATTTTTACCATTACATTTTATATGCACACAAACACATAACTGCCTTTTACAAATTATTGATTGATTTTATTCAACAAAATTCATCTGAATATGATTATTGCGTGTTTAAAATATGTCACAAAACATTGCTGTACCTTTATTTATACAATTTTTAAACAGTATACTCATTTATAGCTTGTCTCGATAGAATTAAATGGAAAGGTAACAAAGTTTTGTTGTAATTATCGTAGGAACCCTCTCCAAATGGAATTAGTAACAAATGGAAAGGTTCAATCAGTGAATCGTTGTTAAATTGTTAAAATGACTGTAATTCTAGTTGAAGTAGAAAATTTTGACTCACACAACTAACCACCTGCACTTTTTCTCAAATTAGTTATTAAAAATTTATTTTATTTTTTTATTTAAACATGTATTTCTCCTTGCTGTAATATGTTTTGACATTACATCAAGGAGAAATACATGTTACTGCGTAATATAATTATTTATTAATTAAATAAATATGAATTGTTTATTTAATTTCAAATTCTATTAATTTCGATAAACTCAAAATGTTTTTATAAAAAATACTAAAACTTTTTTATTATAAATACATTGATCTACTATTATTTACCAGGTAATGTGACAATGTATGACCTAATCATGTATACATACAATACTGAAATACAAAGAAAAAAATGAAAGTTGTATAATTATGTGATTTATGTACTTACTTTTTAATATAGACAATTGTTTTAGCCAAATTATTGTACAGGTTGGAATCAAAATTAATAGCAAGGATTTGCCAGTAAGTTAAGGAAGAGTTCCAAAAAATTTTACGTTTTTTTTTTAAAGGAGCATGGGTCTAGAAACGACTGAAAATTTGCAGTACTAACATGTGTCAGTATGAAAGATTCGTTTTTATAGTTTTTCAATTCATATTTCTTTAATTTTTTTTAATGGATCATCATATAATTTTACCCCCGCCTGCGGTATTGGCATACTGACGAGGCACCAGTGATAGATGATAGGTGAGCATGAAAGTAGGTCAATTGGCACATCGTGACGAATTCGACAAGAATTATACATGATGGTTTCCAAAATCTGTATGGAGGATGACCTGACAGGGTAAATTGCTAACAATGGGGATTAATATCCCCGTTACTAACAGTTCCTCTTCCTTCTCGATAGAACACTTCCTTCAAAGGATGCTAATGATTTTGTTTTCCATTCTGTATATTAGATATATAATCTGTGGGTGAGTATTAATCGTGAAAATAGTGATGTAACGATGTTACATTACACGAATGAGATCCCGCACTGTAATGTTACATTATCACTAATGTAATAATCGTTTCCACGTTGTAATGTAATGTTACGCGAATTGCTCTTAGTAAATCCTCGCTCTAATGATGTATTAATAATAAAATTGGGTAATTTGAAAAAAAAAAAAAACATCTACAAGTTCCTTGTGTATATTGTAATAAAATACACTTTTATATTTATATGATTTTGTTTGAAGTTATTTAACTGACACGAGTTCCATTTTATTAAAATAAAAAAATAGTTCGATATTCGAATTGTGGTAAAATACAAGAGGCTTCTAGTATTTTATATGAGTCTCTATGTAAACATTACCTTAAGTTGAAATTCATAAACATGACAATTTAAAAATACATCCTAATTTTTTTTCTGTTACTTGTACAAGTCTTATTTTTAATACACAAATAGATGTTATCTTTTTAATTTAGTTATATTACTTTATATGTACTGTCTTTGGTTAAAGTTACCGTTTAAACAAAACTAGTTATACTTAGAATTATCCTAATAATAGATACAAGCTAAAAAATCGACATGATTTAATATCGCGTAACTTGCGCAGCAAGCAGCAGCAGTTGCGACTTGAATTAGTTGCACCGACAAGAGGAAACTCTTAAATGAAAAGAGAAAACTTGCGCAACAAATATTTTACATACAAAAGCATTTACTGCGCAAGCTTAGCTTTGTAGTTTATGGTATTGTTTGCCAACTTGCCCCTCTAGTCAAGGGACAAGTGATTATGTCGACATATATGTTTTTGTTATTTTTTTTTTCTGAGATAGAACAAGACAGCAAAGTCTGTCTTGTTTTTTCTTATGCGCGCGGCAACAATACTTCTGTTTTGTCATTTTTTGAATTAAGAATATAGTTCAAAAGAAAAAGAAAAAACATTTAAATAACTAAATTAGGTTTATTAGACGTTTCACAATTTTTTTTAGGAAAGCTGATATGTATAGCTAAGGCAAAAATACTAAGATGCTGGCAACTTTTTTGCTATGTCTAATTATATTAATTGTAATTGAAAACATATCTAGATTATACATCCATAATAAGTATGTATAATAATAGGCTATTATATAAAATAATTGTAAATAATCTTAGCAATTTTATACGCTTGTCTATATTGTGCTTTTTATACATATTTATATAATATTCATAAATACGCGAAGAAAGATAAGTCATTCATTTATGACATAAAAAGTCAGAATTGACTTGTTTTTTTTTTCTTCTGAATTAGTGAAAAAGTGATACTATGATACAATTGTCTTGTTTTATTTAACTAGTTCAAATATTTTTTATATTGTAATTAATACGGTTGTAACATAAAGGACGCGTAAAACGGAACGTAATGATGGATGGTAGGTCACTAAGAAAAAAACTAGCAAAATAATTTACGTATTCAAGAAAATGTCAACTATGTTTATTTTAATTTTTGTCTTCAAAAATCTTACTGAGAACAGTTTATTTGTAGTAATGCCAAACTGTTAGCTGCCAACCACAACTTACTATAGTGCGATTATAATAAGATATTATTTTGCTAATTTACGTTCCGTTTCACGCAAAGCTGTGCAAATGTGTCAAAATTGGAAATAAATACAATTCCATTGAATATTGTCCATTTGTTGTTTTCGAAAGAATACAAATATAACATTTTCTACTTAATAATCAATTTATTTGTCTGCATTTCTTTTTAATGTATGCATTCTATATTTATTTATTAAAGATCTCTTCAAGCGCGGTATTTTTTACGCTGCTGGCCAGTTGTGGTCCGAAAGAAAGTCAACATGATGTAATAATTTTCTTTACTTAAATTCTGAAACTTTATATCTTAAATGCATTATTTTCTTTAACAAAAGATGTTTAGATCTCTATATTTAAATTTTAATTGTTATTTAATTTTATTTGTAGTCACAAATGATAATATAATTAGTAAAATCTTAGAATTATATTTTTTTTTTTTATTTTAAACTAATATAAAGTAATAGATTTGAAAGAGATTAATCCGAATTAGGTCACAATTTATTTTAATTATACCTATTCTTAAAATGTAACTAACTATTGTATGTTTATCTAAATGAACACAAGATTAATTTACTTTATCTTTGGTTTGTCAAAATAGTTGAATATGCAAGTTTTACCTGGCTTCAACCACCGTTGTAAAACTGAAATTATTATTTTTGTATAATAAATTTTTTAATAATATCTAGTAGTATTTTATACTGTCTATTTTTAATCGACACATTATTGTCAATTAGAAATAAATTTTATACTCTGCCCGTTATAGCATCGCCCAGTTGACAGGTTACTAAAACCCATAGATTGTATAGATAGAGCATCAAGTGTCGAAAATGCTATAATTCAGCTGACTACTGAATTGATATTTGGCTGACTCAAAATAACACATTTAGTAAACTTGTCCTTTTTTCAGTGTTGCAAGTTAAATTAAACACTTAAATTTGAATGGGAAACTATTTTTTCTGATAAAAATATACACATGTACTAATTCATATTGTTTATAAATTAACAAAAATGTAATAAATAATAAGTCGGCCATTTTCAATGATATTAAAACGAATATATATTTTATGTCTTTACTTGGATATAAATAAATAAAATCAGTAATGATACCCTTTTTATTTATTACATATCTTTATGCACTCTTTACATTGTTCTTTCAAATACATTTTTAATCTTTTTTATGTATCGTTTTTATTTTTCAATTTAACCGTGCAATATAATTTCTCCCTTATCCTGAGTAATAAATGTGCATTATGGTAACCCTATTCACGCACACATGGATAAAAACAGTTTGACAAATCATTTGTATGATGACACTATCTATATAATTTAAACTGAAACCATAGAAAAACGTAAATAAATAAAACATAACACGAATATAACAAAATATTTTATAATAAGAAACTTACTAGTAGTAATGACTTTTAAAAATGTCACTCAATATTGTTATTATTACTGCAAAAAAAATAACAAAATGACAGATGTCATTTGCACCGTACTATTGTATATAACGCGCAAAATATGGCTGTATACAATAAAATTTAATGAAAAGACTATTTAAATGAAATTAGTTACAAATCTAAACATTTAATCGACATTTTTTTTATTACTGTTGGACGTCAGCACACTGTCTAATGGTCCAGTCAATTATTCACTTGTTTATATTTTCGTTAAGTTCTTTTGAAACAAAACCGTCGCTATCGACTTGTTTGGGATACGGTAACCATTTACCATCAGGTGGGCCGTATGCTTGTTTGCCACCTCAGTGGTATAAAAGAAACCTAGCAATCTATTCATTAATGCTAGGATACTAAATGGGCAGAGCAAAAATAGTCGAATAAAAACAACAAAAATGTAAGATTAAAACTAATATGTCTAGTGTCTAATTTTAACTTGAAAATGGGAGACGTGTATTTCTATCTCACCTCTCGTGTGGCCGTGGAAAGGGATGGCATTATCATGTAATTAATTTTTGGAACAATCGTTTCAAAAACAGTTTTCGTATTCTTGAGTTATTCAAATATGAAACCTCTTAATCATAAAATAATTTGCACATAAAACTACCACCAAATATTTTGCTACTACTTCGTATTTTGTTTATGAAAATTTTAAATACTTTTTTTTTATCAAAATCCAAAAAACATTAGTGACAACTAAATATGGGTCTTATTACATTATTAACATTTTAATTTCTTATTATACCCATTTTTAAGTAATCAATCGGGAATATCGAAAAATGTTTTTGAAATAACAGATAACTAACTCCAACAGTAGAGTCGATTCTGAAACGCCATTACTCTAAATTCTAAATTTATATTACATCGAAATGTAAGAACTAATATGAACTAAATTTCTAATAGATTTAAGTCAACATTATTCTAAATTTAATTCATTCATATAGTAGTTTATAAAACATTATTTTCGTAAATTAAAATATTAGTTTATGTCGTAGGTTTAAAGAAATGATGCCTCTGAATCGTCTCTATTGGCAATAATTCAAATGAACGCTTCTAACCGAATTATAGAAGTACCCTAGACGAGAGATGTATGTAAAGATATGACACCTTTTTCACTCTGAACTCTGAATACCCTGCGAGGGGCATAGCGTGAAGATATAAATAGACAAAAGGTGAATGAGCCGCTCCATTGTATACCACATAAGACTGTGATCTGCATTCTAATGTATGTATAGTGCTGTAATATTGCGCTCATGTTATTTAATTATTATTAAACAATTTAATATAATTGATTTTGTTGATATTCTGGGTTTTATTTTCATGTCCCATTTATTCATAAACTCAGTACACTAGATATATTGATAGACTATTGGATTCCTTTTAATAAATAAATAAATAAAGAAGAGCAAATAAGCCAACATGCAATGGGCCATCTTTTCTTTCTCGTGGTTGTCGTAAGAGGCAACTTTCGGAACTTAATGGACGAAGATTGGGCAGCAACATCTCTCTTTAAACATCACCAAAGTCTAACCGCGATTGCTAATTCAAATGTGGCTCCCAAGTTTGGCAACTACTGGCATAACTCCTGATATGTTCAGCAGTGGACTGTCCACTAACGGCTGATATAATGTGTGATGAAATCGAAATAAACTTAATAATACCGAGTATTAGGGCTACGGGAATTATTAAAATAAATAAAAATTGAAATAAAAACTTAATGTTAAGTGGAGCAATCCGCAACGCATTAATGAAAACCGCATTCAAATCGATTAAACCGTTTCTTAAATTAGCGTGCACAAACGTACAGATAAAAATTTTAAAAATCATTGTTTTGGGTTCTGTCGCACTCATAAAGCCCCCTTATAATCGTTTTTCTTATATACCTTCCATCTACAGACAGCAACCAGTTACGATTTTATTGTATATATTGATATCATGGCCGCCATGGTGGTATTATGTCGAGTATCCTATAACATTCCTCAAAGAATGAGCTAGCAAATACAAAACGAATTTTCTAAATCCGACTGGTAGATTCCGAGATTAGCGTGTGTTTAAACAAAGAAAAAACTCTTCCACATTATTATAGTAATATAAATTTCGTAGATCAAGTTGTTGATATTACATTATCTGAGTACATCTACTCTATGAATGTCGGCGGTAAAGTAAAAATATATAAACAGTACGTTTTGTTACATTTCATTATCTATTAGTCAGTACGCGTCATCTTACAAATAAGACGACACCTATCGTGTTCTTTTCAGGTTATTTATGTGTGTATTGAATTAAAACCTATATAGGAACAGTGTTTTTATAAAAAATGGCTGCAATAGATATAGAACAGACTAAAAATCCATATTTTGGCGGGAAATCTCCACCACAGTACATCTTTGAAGATGAACAGGTAATTTTTTTTAATAAATTACACGGCATAATCAATTGGCGTAAAATGTAATTATATTGAGTTTTTATAGATTTTTCATCATTCTTCACCACGTTATCACATTAAAAGTAAATGATATAAAATTTTTTTATTTATATTTTACACTATGTAATAAAGATAATACTACATAAATATAAGATTACTACATACTCTAAATTACGTACCTATATCATGTTAAACGAAATACATGCACTTACTGCTTATATACATAAAGATATAAAACTATCGGAATAATATTTTATTTAAACCAAAATGTTTGCTATTTTTTTTTTTGTTTATTACAAAATTTTTTTTTAATTATCATGATGACTCAGAGCAATTGCTGTACATATCTAACGCATATTATTTTATCTATGCCCCATTATCTTTGCTATCATAATATGATAAACAATAAATATTACCTTTTTCAGTGCATAGTTTTCGAGGCAGATGAAGACAGACAAGCTCCAGTGCACTTCATAGTTGTGCCTAAGAAAGTTCTACCTAGACTTTCTGTGGCCACAGAGGAGGACGAAAGATTGTTAGGTACGCACTAAGTATTTCGCATAAATTGGAATCCATTTTAATAATATTGAAGAAGGTACTAGGTAGCTATCTCATGGTTAACCTTGCTAAGGTACTAGGTATCTATAGTTTGAGAAAATGTTCTAAAGAGCACTTTTTAAACTCTTATAATTATTTTAAAAGGGCGTCCTTTTTAATTTAATAACGTCGGTATATACAACAAATAGACCTCACTTTTAATTTATTTTACTTAATGACTAAAATATTAACGTCATCAGTTGCGACTTTTCAAAGACACCATCGTTTAGTCAAATTAATGACTGAACTATGACGTCATTTTAGAGTCGTGAACGCCTGCCGTTCATTTACACGATATTTATCTATCATTAAAATTACGTCGCAGGTCACCTTCTCATCGTGAGTCGCCATGTTGCTAAATTGAAAGGTATAAGCGATTCAGGGTTTAGGGTGGTAATGAACGAAGGCAAACACGGCGGTCAGACTGTGAATCAGTTTCATATACAAGTGTTCGGGGGACGACAAATGTACTGGCCTTTTGGGTAAAATAAACTTGTGAAATATTTGGAGATTGTTTCATTTAAAATTAATTGTGCTCTATTTTGTTACTAACAAAGAATTGAAAAAAAAATAAGCATTTAATGACGCGCCCATCTAATTCTATCATCAGCCATTTATTACCATCTGTCAGAAGTAGCTACCTTATTAGGTAAGATCTACTTATTGAATAGATATATACATAGGAACTACCTACTTATCTATTTACTTGAATCACTAAAATGTAATCATAATTATGGCCTTCTCCTAACTTTATCATCAGCTCTTAGACTGGACCATAAAATAAAAATAGTATCTACAGATCTCATCATCATCATCATATCAGCCTTTAACTGTTCATTGCTAAACATAAGTTTCCCCCTTGGGAGGTTTTGCCAGTAGTTGCCACGCTTGACAAGCGGACTGGCAACCGCAGTCAGGTTTAGACATGTTTTAAGAGAGACACTGTTGCGCATTTTTCGCCCACTCTTACGACACCCATGGGATAGGAAGCAGTGGCCTATTCTATGCCGGGACCACACGGTCAATCTACGGTTCTAATACAAAATAAAACTAAGTACTGTACCACAAATTAAAAATAATACCTATAAGTACGAATAAATTGGTGGCCACGTTGGCAATAACAAATGTAAAGTTTTCTTTTTTCTATTGATAATTTATGTAACTTTTTTTGTTGTTGGCAATAAATGGTTTCTTTTTTTCTTTCTTTAAATGTATAATGTAGAATCTACTCTCTATCAAAGAGAAGGTTACGTAAGATCTATGAAAATGGTGCCGCTATGTAACATTAAATAATATTTAGATTTATTATTTTTAGTCTAGTTTTGTGATTAAGGCCCATTCTGATGCGGTATTTCTCTAAAATTATTTTTTAAATTAATATTTTATTTTGATAATTTCGTGAATTTACTATTTTAAGGACCATAATAAACCAAAATATAATAATCAGGATTTAAGTCTATTAGAAATTAGATCATATGGCGCTCAGAATTTACCCCATTGTTGACCATTAATAGAGAACAATGTATTAAAAAAAATCTGTCCAAAATATAATGTTTTCGTATTCTCTTTGTATTGTTTCAGGTCACATTTTATTAGTTGCAAAAAACTTAGCAGTTGAAAAGGGCTTACTGAATAGTGGCTATCATGTCATGGTGGACGAAAACTATCGCACCAAGAAATTCATTGGTTTACATGTGTTCGGCAGAGCATTACATCACATGGTTTGGCCTGTAGGACCTGGCAGTAGACTTTAATGAAATTTATTAAATTTGAAAATGTATTTTATTTTATATAGATTATATACCTAACTAAATAAAACACCTAGATACCAAAAATTACTTTGTTCAAACTTGAGAAATCAAGAACGGATCATAAAAACTAAATAGGATGTCAAGATTGCAGAGCCTATTTCATTATTATTTTTAATGATTTTCGAAACTTAGAGCTGTATTAGCTTAGATAAACAAAGTCTTTTAACTACCTAAAAGATAAATATATAATTAGAAACAATATTATTGCACACACAGCTCTCCTTTTTTAGGATAGTCTATTAGTTATATTTTAAGTGCAAATAGAGATTTATTAATAAAGCATTAGTTATCAATTCATTTAAGTATCTGATAAGTACAAAATAAAACATAATCAAGGTTTTAATTTTCTTAATAAGATTTAAATTGAAAATTTAATAAGATCGAAAGCCTAGTATCCAGGGCCGTAAAAATCATTACAGAAAAAATAATGAGTAAAAATGTAGTCTGTTTAAAAAAATTATTCATTCGCAAAATATGGCGGATGATGAAGTAAAATTAGCGCAATCTGCCGTACCTGGCGGAGATACAATTTTCGGAAAGATCTTGAGGAAAGAAATACCCGCGAAATTCGTCTACGAAGATGATCAGGTACAGTTATAACCTAAAAATATATATTAATTAAAATCTAAAACACCGGTTTATAAGGTGGCATCGCAATCAGCTGTTGTGACATTTTGTAGTAACTATTTAATTTAGATACCTATTTTTTTATCATATAAGAAATATTTTTACTACCAACAATTACAAATAAATCAATGATTAGAAATTAATTTTAAGAATAATATTCAAAAATAACCTTACTTTTATGCTACCAAACAACAGATAACAAAATCACATATTAAATTGTTTTAAATACGCAATATTAAAAGTCCTTCGAAATGTATAAGAGTGGTGAATAATCTAAACTACTAAACTGATCTGTAAAGTCAGTCATAGAGTATCTTTTTATCTGATTTAACTATTAAAAATCTGAATTAATTTCATCCAACTTTTTCTTTGCAAATTTTATTTTATGCAACTTAGAATGGCAAACGAGCTGACGACCCACCTTATGGAAAGTTGTTGTTGCTTAATGACATAACATTATACTATTTCGTCCATGATACCCTAAAACTCAGGTGTTATTCCTCTATACCCTTTAAATTCACTGCCATATCCCACCCTTCAAACCAAAACAGCCATGTAAACACAACTACTTTACAGTAGAAACAGGAATGGGACAATGGTGCTCAAGCAAATGACTCTTGTACAGTTTCTCTCTGATAAACTGTTTATTATGCCCATCCAATTAAAATATGAAATCTTTTATTCTGACTGACTATGAACGAACAGTCAAAACTACTAAATGTAGAAAGCTGAACTTTGTAACATAAGTTTATAATAAAGGCATCTGTAAGAAAGATTTTTTTTTTATTTTAAGTTAAATGACAACACATGAGTAAAACCAGGGGCAACAGCTAGTTTTCTATATTAGTGTTTTAGTATAAAACTAGAAAAGGAATAATTATAATTACCTATTTTATGCTGTTTAACTGTAAACATAAATTATTAAGTAGAGGATATATCTTTTAGATAAGATAATACAGAATTATGTGGAAAAATAAAGTATTATGTAATATATATATATATATATATATATATAACAATAATAACAATGTTAGCAAAGGCGAACTTATCTCTAAAAGAGATTTCTTCCAGTCAACCTAACACACCTAATATATGAATACTTTGAAAATAACAATGGAATAGATTCTGAGATGCCTCTTTGAAATGATGAAACTACTACCCAGTTTGAAATGCGATTTCAGCTGAGAAGAACGGGCAAGAAACAGCTGTTAGTTTTTTTTTAATAAGAATTTACCAGTAGAATTAATATTGCAAACTTCATATTGATAAAAGAAAGAAACAAGCTAGAACTCTACCATCAATCCATACTATTCTTAAACAGAACAAACTAGTCCAGTCCAATCATATTGTAATACATAGATAATTTATATACTGATACACTTGGGCAATACCCCAGGGGAATGCTAGTTAACCATAATGGTTTGGGGGGAGTAGGGATTGTTAATAATGGGGTCTAATTGACCCATTGCTAGCAATACACCTTATCAGGTCGACCTCCACACAGTTTCCCCTGGAAATCATCATGGTTAATTACAGTGGTATTCGTCACGATGGGCTAACTGGCCTGCCTTTTCGTCCCCACCTATCATCCCTCATGCAGGCGGGATTACTAATCTATTATCACCCATTAAAAAAAAACCATAATGGTTTCCAAGATAACTGTAAAGATTGATCTATTATCTACTAAGATTGGTATATTACTGGCAGTTATACCATCTCCCCTTTGTCTAGGTCTATATTATAAAGAGACATGGTTTATTCAGGGGCAGCAATGTATGTTTAATGCCTCCAGGGGCATATGCAATACCAGTATAATTCATACATTTCAAATTTCTAAACTCATAAGTTTCATATGTCACCATAACAGCTTATCATCAGGTGGGCCGTATGCTTGTATGTTTGCCACCCTAGTGGTTAAAAAAATTATAAAATTAGATTTTTTGTTTGATTGTAATAGGTAAACTCAAAACTGCTTAACCGATTAAAAAAAAATCTATTGAAAGCTAGGGTTAGTACCATAGGCCGTATTTTATTAAAAAAAAAATTGAGAAGTGAGTTAGAGAGTTAGATTAGTCCATAAATATAATAATTGAAATAAACACTTTCTTTTTTCAGTGTGTGGCTTTCCATGATGTGAACCCGCAGGCTCCAACCCACATTCTGGTTATACCTCGCAAACCTATTCCTCAGCTTTCCAAGGCTGGTGATGAAGATGAACTGCTTCTTGGTAATTCCATTAAGTTTATTAAATACATCATGTAACTTTATTATCAAAGATAAGTTTTCTTTTATTTGTCATTTTGATTAATTATAATTTACTACCTTTTTGCCCACTACTTCATAAGCGTGAAATTTAGAAGAAAACTAATAATAAAGGCCACTTCTCGATGGTGTATCAAGATAAAACATATGCTAGATTTTAAGTTAGACCTTTGGGAATATAATTGTGAAGAGTCTACTCAATTTGTTGCAATATTCGTTATATAATGCCAAAACAAATGTACAGACAAACAGACAAAATTTTAATTTAATAACTACTAGTTTATCTTATGTACAATTTGGTCGAGAAAACTCAATTGGTTTCTGGACCATTCGAGACCCTTAATCTTGAGCGGCTGTAATGCGACCGCAAGCTTTACTGCGCGCCTCCGCCCGCTGAGCGCGAGCTGTAAGCATACGTGACGCTGTTACCGTAAATACGTAAATTAAACAAGTAATTATTAAAATACAATGTCTCCTTACAAAACTTAACAGACAAAATTCCTTAAAAATATTGTTTTGGCATCTGCTAGCCTTATGAATACTCCTTATTTAAATTTTTCTTAAATATCTTTCATGTCCCGTTGTAATATTATAATATTAATAAGCTGGTTTAAGTTTAAAAAAATGGAATCTTAAGGAGTATAGTGGTGAAATTATAGTTGCCTTAATTCTAACAAATGACCACACACAATCATGACCACACACAATCTTTTGTTCAAAAAAGAACAAAATTTATTTTAGCATTAACAAAGATAATGTAAAAAAATAGAATTTAGAACTTCTATTAGAAACTAACATTAATTTATATTTTGCATCTAGCAATTTCAAATATAAATATTAACTTTTTAATTTTCTACTTGGCAACACATACACAAAAAAGATATAAAAATCTGTTGTTGTAATTTCGTCTATACCAATGACTGGCTCCCAATTAATTAATTATTAAATCCATACCATAACATTCTTTATTTAAATATCAAATAGTAACTGTCCACTAGTCATCAGTACAGATGGGCAAAGCACCGGGTTTAAACCCGGTGCTTTGGTAAAAACCCAATAAACACCCATAAACTCCCATAATCACCCAAAAAAATAGGTTTTTACGTATTTTTTTGAAAATATGTAAGTAATACCAATAAATTATTTTTATAAATTGTATTGATCAATTCTACAATATTAAATAAAACGTTAACTAATAATATTTCAGGAAATTTTAAAAATCTATATATAATAAAATGAAAGTAATTAATTTTCAGTGTTTTCATGTTGCAGTTGATCAACATGTTGGCCTTTTGCTTCCCGTAGATACTTTAAAATTTCTTCATAACACCTCGTTCGCACACATGGCCGTATATATTTAAATTCTTGAGCCACTAACAGTCCGAAATACTCATTTCTTTTATCCTCTTCTCCATAAATTAAGCATTTAGAACAGTTTGTTTCTTCTTTCAGTAAATTTTCTTTTACTTTATCCTCGTTTTTTTCTTTGTTGCGACGACGCTGGGTAAATCATCTGGACACTGGGTCTCACTATCGCCAAATATATTTGGAGATCGGCTTCGGCTACGGCTTGGCAGACATTTTTTTCTTTCTACAATTTTAAATTAAATTTATTAGAATAAATGCTTCGAACACACGCGATCTAAGTACCTTTTGTGTTTATTATACCTTACCTACCTAGGTATAAAAAGAGTACTTACGTAGATTTTCTTTTATTAACTGTTTTATACGAAGATCTTGATCTCTCAAATTAGCATCCATTTTACTTCCAGTGATTATCAACTAAATTAATAATCCACAAAGTATTAAATAACGTTTTTATGAAATATTTAGCACAAAAACAATACCCTTTAAATATCGATCGTCAGTAACTGTGGCTGACTTACCTATATTCTAGCAAGCAGGACTGCCAGATGTGAAGGGGAAATCCCCAATAAATTGTTGCATGTGACTGATGATGTGAGCATGTTCGTTTCATAATAAAAATGTTGCCAGGTAACCAAAAAGTCGTATGTTTTTGTGCGAATTACGATCATAATCTTTACGATCGTACATTAAAAAATAGACAAATAATAGTATGAGTACGATTTAAATCGTATATCTGTCAACCCTGCTAGCAAGACAGCGACAAAATCACGTTGCATAACAATGTAGCCCAAGCTTATATCTTATGAAATATACGGAAGAGATACGGACTTAGAAAAAACAGAAATGTTGTTCTTTGTGGAAGTCATTGATGAAATTCTATGTATTTTAGCCCGCAAACTTTCTTCAAACAAAAACAGCGCCATCTAGTATCGAGTTCTGTAATTATCTCTTTGTTTATGGATTTGAAGTAAGACCGCCACGCATGCAATACATTATGACTGGGGATTCCCCTATTCGTCGACGCTGAATATGAGGCGACGACAATCACTGTCAAACGTGTTCACTATTACTCTGACTCTGGTAACGTGACTTCCTGGTAACGTGTTAGGTAGGAAAAGCAGTAAAAAAGTGCATATTAAGGGAGCAGATTTGAAATAATATTTATACTTAACAAGAAATAATTAAAGGTAAGTGGATTTTTGAATGATACAATTATATCATGATCACTTAACAATTTTAACTTAAAATTAGATGTATTATTACAAGCTTTTATTTAGCTTGCGTTATGTAAATAAAAGTATGTAGGTATGTTCGTATGTTGATGCAATTATCCTCAATCCTCAACCGACTGGGATAAAATTTTCCATACACGTTTATTTTGGATGATAGTGCATAGTTAGCTGAGAGTCGTCATTGGATAATAATGGTGGATAGCCTAAGATGTGTACTAGATATTTATTTTTAACATAATATGCGTAAGTACCTAATCGAATTAAAGAAGTTGCTGAGAAAAATACAGAACAATACGATAATAAACTAGCGTCTGCGTTTAATCCTCCGAGGAGATGTAATTTTACAAAGGTTTTTTGTATTTATTTTATTATTTTTTTAATAAATTTATTGTAAATAACAAGAAATAATCATTGTAAAAAAATAGGCACTCTATTGTTGAATTTTCGTCAGACCAACTAATCATCGTTCATTTTTTTAGGTTCAATGGGGAGACCTAAAGATTTACGCATATGGGAGCACTACCGTACTTTACCAAACAAGTCTGTTTCTTGCAAGCTTTGTAATAAGGTCTACAAATTCAGTAATGCTGCCAAAATGCTTCAACATCTTATCACTTGTCCAAAATCTCCAGAAACATTAAAAGACTCTATGAAACTTATAAAAGATAGCTCGTCCAAAACCAAAATGTCTGGACTGTCAGAGATAGAGACAAATGATTCTTTTATAAGCCCCTCGTCGTCTGCTAACACTACAATAAATGCTGAGTTTCAAGACACCGATGATCATATAAAAACAGAATTAGCGAGAGCTATATTTGTAACAGGGACGCCATTATCGATGGTGCAACATCCTTTATGGATACAATTTTTCGAAAAATTGCAACCAAAATTTAAAATACCTTCACGTAAAGCTTTAGCGACAAAATACTTAGATAAAATATATAGAGAAATGCGTTTTGAGTTAAATGAGGAACTAAATGCTTGTAGTTACTTACACCTTCAGTGCGATGGCTGGTCTAATTTAAGAAATGAAGGAATAATAAACTTTCTTATATCAAAACCTCAACCTGCATACGTTAAAAGTTTGAATACAGAAAGTAATCCTCACACTAGTGAATACCTTAGCCAAGAAGTTGAAAAAGTAATGAAAGTGTATGGAGCAAATAAGTTTCTTGTACTTATTGGCGATAACGCTAGAAATATACAAAAGGCATTCGAATTAACAAAACTCAAATATCCACATGTTGTTCCTCTCGGTTGCTGTGCACATATCCTTAACTTGTTGTGCCAAGATATTGTAAAGATACAAGAAGTAACTGTGTTTATTATGCAAGCCATAAATATAATAAAAACTGTTAAAAGGAGTCAACGATTAAGTTCCTTGTTGATAAAATCAAGGCAGGGTGAAGATTCTACACAAACACTAAAATTGCCTTGTGCTACAAGATGGGGAAGTCATGTTACTTCGTTAAAAAGTTTGAAAGCAAATAAGATAGCTTATTATTTATTATTAATTAACAGTTAGAGAAGATGTGGTAATTTCAAGAGATATTAAAGATTTAATTCTAAGTGATGATTTCTGGACGAAGACAGGGGAATGTATAAGTATTTTGGAACCAGTCACTGAAAGCATATTTTACTTAGAGAGCGACCAGAATCGTTTGCATCGCACATACATTACATTTAGAGATGTACAAGCTAAGATACGTTTTGCATTAAATGAGATTTCGACATTGAGCGAAGAAAGCAAACAGCAGATTCTAACATCAGTATCTTCAAGATGCAATATGGCAATGAGGCCAATACATTTTGCAGCATATATTCTAGACCCCAGGACTCTAGGAGTCGAACTTACTCAAGAGGAAGAACTTAAGGGTATGGAGTTTATCTACAATTTAAGCCAACACTTAAGTTTGTCAAATGTAATGGCAGATTTGGCGTGTTATAAAGCTAAAGAAAACTTTTGGGCCAGAGGATTTGTATGGAGCTCATTAGATAGCATTGAGCCCCTAATATGGTGGAAAGGTATTTGTGGTTCCACTGAGTTAAGCAAAGTAGCGATTCGTATTCTATCAGCTCCCTGTACTTCGGCAGCCACTGAGCGTTCCTTTAGTATCCAAGGCTACATACATAATAACAAAAAAAATCGACTTACAACTGAAAGAACTGAAAAAATTTCATTCATTTGTTATAACTGGAATCTTAAACATAAAGCTGAATGCGAGGACATTCAGTTTAATGAAGAAAATACCTTAGAAGCTTTCATTGAGCAAGTAAATGAACATAACAGTTTAGACGAAATAGAGCCTATCGAACCTATACAATTCATCGCTTGTAATAACTCTGAATCTGACAGTGATTGACTGTAGTTTTACATTTTACTTTCATCTCTTTCTTAATAAACTCAAAATCAAATTAAAAGTTTTTTATTCTGTAGGCTGCATAATAATATTGTCTATGTCCAGTATAGTGGACGTCTTGCGGCTGAGATGACGATGATGAAGTACAAAATCATAAACACCCAAAAATTTGGGTGTTTATGGGGTTTAAACCCAATAAACCCAAAACACCCGGTTTTTACCCACCAGACTTTAAACCCACCCAGGTGGATTGCCCATCTCTAGTCATCAGTAAAAGAACCATACAACTTATTTTAACAGTTAAATAAGAATATGCATTTTATCTTGTACAGGGCACCTACTTACAGCTGCTCGAAAAGTAGCCACGCAGGAAGGCCTCGACAAAAGTGGCTTCAGACTGGTGATCAACGATGGACGCGACGGCGCTCAGAGCGTCTACCATCTCCATATACACGTGATTGGAGGTCGCCAAATGGGCTGGCCCCCCGGCTAAAATTAAATACTTTTAATAGCAGTAAACATGGTTTCAATCGCTTCAAATGAGTTTTCATTTTTATAACCTTAATAAAAACCTTACCTTATTAAGAACCAATGACTATAAGACCAGACAAGTATAAAATCTTATAAAATATATGAGTCGAAGAAATAAAATGTTGTTAAAGTTTTTTTTTTTTTATCTTTGAGTCATCCGGTCATTTTAGCTGTTTTCCGGCGCCGCAACAGTTGGATTACAAAATATCAGAATTCTAAGGCGCCATTTCTTAAAAATTAAAATATCAATTTGATATCACAGTATTTACCTGATAGTTTGTGACAGAATAAATATTTAAAAATACTAGTTTCCTGAATGTGTTATTTTTTTGGATTTTTTTTATTCATATTTATCTAAATAATATTTTTTTATGTAATCTTAGAACGGCAAACAAGCTGACGACCCATCTAACGGAAAGTGATAGGTACAGAGCAGGTAAGCAGAAGTAATTATGTGATATTTTTTTTTTTTATTAATTTAATAGGTATATTTTTTTAGGTAGGTATAATTGATCAATTACAATAATCTATACGATACATTTACACAGGAACATGTCTGTGGGTAAATGATAACAGATAGTTTTGTGCGCTACAGATAACATAATATTATTATTACTCTGTGGCTCAGGATCAGGAGAAAAGAGTTTGAATCTTAAGTTTTATAAGAAAAAAAGAAAATACTATTTTTTTATAGTCAGCGAATTTAAATATTGCTCTTTTAATAAAGATTAATTGATCTAATACATATGTAAAGGTTTAGTTTTTCTTTAAAGCATAGTAAGTAGATTTTAAATTTGTGGCTTGTAGTTTTTGCACATTTTATGTTCAACGCTCAAACCATGAACGTTATTCACTTTAAGTCGTAAAGTACTTAATAATTTTGTAAATGCCTACTTTAGGATATTATAGGCTTTAGTATATTTAATAGAAATAAAGTGTTCTTCCGTAATTGAAAAAGTGTTTCGACAAGTCTTTAAAAAAATCGAGGTAAGAATTTCGAATACATTTATAATTCTAATAATAATATATAAAGTTCAAAAAACGGAAAATCTATGCTTAAATTTTCATTAAATAAATTATTATATTTTATTTAAAACTAAATGCAAGTAATAACATATAGCTAAGTAGGTAGTTATTACTTTATTTATTAAATAACAATAAAAATACCTACAATTTTCAGAGCGCGTACAATAAAAAAATAAATTGTATTATAGCATAACAAATACGATTTATATATATATATATATATATATATATATATATATATATATATATATATATATATATATATATATATATATATAAAAGTATAGTATATAGTATAGTAAAAGTTAATAGGTCTTTTGTGGAAATGAGCATAAAACACCGAAGAATATTTTGGATTTACCTTTTAATAAATTTATATATATATATATATAATAAATACACATATGTTTACTTAAATGTACTATGTGTAAAATTATGGGGTCATTAAAAAGCCTGTGCATGATCATGCAAACACTATGCACATTTGTCATTCAAGTAATTGTTCAATGTGTAATAAATAGGCTTTGTTCAATAAATGTTTTTATTTAATAACTGTTTTAAATTTATTAAAAGGTAAATCTAAAATATCCTTCGGTGTCTTATGCTCATTCCCACAAAAGACCTATTAACTTTTACTAAATGATACTTTGGAACAACATGTTTTTATTTGTATCTAGTGTTAAGATTATTGAGGTCACTTAAAAGTTGAGTAGTTTTTGAGTTTATCTATGAAAAAAAAACAGAAAATATTTCAAAACTTTCTTCTTCATAATATTAGTATATTTTTTTTATACCACTGAGGTGGCAAACAAGCATACGGCCCACCTAATTGTAAGTGGTAACTGTAGCCTATGAACATCAGCAATACTAGAGGTATTACATGTGTGTTGCCGACCAAATAAATAAGTTATTACAGTGAGTCCATTTCAATGAGTCTTTTCAATCCAATGAGACCATTGGTAATGTGTTTTTTTAAAATAAAAGGAATAATTACTATGCTTATGCTGTTGGTTTAGGATGGTGGGGCACCAGTGAGGGATGATAGGTGAGTCTGAAAACAGATATATTGGCCCATCTTGATTTGTACCCAGAAAAAATTGCAGTTAATTACTGGTAAACCATGAAGATTTATAGGGAGAACTATGTGGAAGTCAATATGAATGGGAGGGGGACAGGGATTGTTAGTAGTGAGATCCAACAGACCCATTACTAGCAATATACCCTAACAGGTCAACCTCCATGTGGTTCTCCCTGGAAACTATTGTGGTAAATTTTTTATTAATACATCACGATGGACTAACTGACCTGTCTTTACATTCTTACTTCCTGGTGCCCTGCCAACATATACCGTTTGCACAGGCAGATCTAACATTCCATTATCATGCATTAATAAAAAAAACCTGAATGGGATCACTAGTGTCCATAAAATTCATCTCTGAGCTTACTATTGTTATGTGGTCCTGTAAATCACCAGAATACCATATAATAAAAATATATGTAAATATTTCAATATCTTATATAATAAAATTGTAACTTTTTTTCTGCAACTTAGAATGGCAAACAAGCTGGCAGCCCACCTGATGGAAAATGGTAACCATCACCTATAGACATGAGCAGAACCATGTACATAACAGAGTATACTATTTCACCCATGATATCCCCCATGTATTGCCATTCCTGAGGACGTTCTCAGGTGTTATTTCTCTGTACCCTGTAAATGCACTGCTATATCCCACCGTTCAAACCGAAACACAGCCATGCAAACACAACTGCTTCACAGTAGATACATGAATAGGACAGAGGTGCCCAAGCAAACGACTTTTGTACAAAGTCTATCTCTGGTAATTAGGCAATATCTGTAATTGTATGTATCTATAATAAGTTTACTATTGTAATCTTTTGGAGGAAACAATAAAGAGTATCTATCTATCTGTCTGTATATGGGAGATATTTAAGAAAAATTCATAGGAGGTGCTTTAATAAGAGCATCAGAAACTAAAACAATGATTTTCAGTAATATTGTTTGTCTGTATGTTTATTCAGGCATTACCCACACACATGGCACATTTGTATTCCTGAAGGTGTAACTTAAAATCTACAGTATATTTTATCTTAATACACAATCTAGAAGTGAACTCCTTTAGATTTCTTATCTTATTTTTCGCATATGGGGTCAGCTAAGCCGTTGCACGTCGACCCATATGGATCTTTTGTGCTTCCCCCTGCCTTATACCATCATTTCATAGATCCTATGTGTTACCCTAACGATATCCCGCGGTTTAAGATATCTGTAGTCCTCTAGCCCTGGATAAGCCGTTCCCAGTAGACTCATATGCATACTTGCCAACGAATCGCAGTTGCACGTCAAGTGTTCCATAGTTTTCTTGCTTTTCTAATCCACACATGTGAAGTTGCAGCCAAAAAACATAGTTCTCTCATATGATTTTATAATATTTACAGGTGATAATGGCGGGACGGACCATAGACAATATAGACGCGGTCGACAAACACCAATATCAAACTGAACTGCCGTTCGAGGAGCTCGTTGGAGTCGTCGATGCGCATACATTGTGTAGGAGACTGTGTGCAGTATTAAGGTTTATAAACAGTGATCGTACAACGCTAACGTCAGTAAGCTCTATCGCATCGACCCATATAGATGTGATTATTGTGAAAATAGTCCAGAATAGAGACAATCTGCATTGTCTTTTGCACCATCCGTATGTGGAGTGTCGGATGGCTGCAGCGGAAATTATGGATAAATTGAAGGACAATGAACATGATTACAAGTTGGTGTATGGGTACAGTCGTAATAGAAGGGGTAAACTGTAAGTTTTGCAACGTTTTGTTTGTTTATTTGTTATATAGGCTGTTTACTGTCCAGTGCTGAACATAGCCTCCCCCATAAGGGGGGGGGGGGTTGCCAGTAGTTGCCATGCTTGGTGGAAGGGTTGGCAATCGCATTTTGGCTGTTGATGTTTTAAAAGGGACACCGCTGTCCATCCCTCTACCATAATAGCAATAATAAAAATATTTATTTATTTTATATATATTATATTATATACTAGCGCCCCGTCTCGGCGTCGTACGGATGGACATTTTTAACATTTCCCTTCACTGCTCTGCTCCTATTGATCGTAACGTGATGAAAAGTATACTATAACCTGCCCAGGAGTATGAAGAATAATTGTACCAAGTTTCGTTAAAATCCGTCGAGTAGTTTTTGTTTCTATAACGCACATACAGACAGACAGACCAAAATTTTACTGATTGCATTTTTGGCATCAGTATTGATCACTAATCACCCTCTGGTAGTTATTTTGGAAATAGCTTTCATGTACAGAATTGACCTCTCTACAGATTTATTATAAGTATAGATATATTTTTTATGCAACTTAGAATGACAAACAAGCTGACGGCCCACCTGATGGAAAGTGATTATCGTCGTCGACATGAGCAGTACCATGGACATAACAGAGTATACTGTTTCGTCCATGATACCCCCCATGCGTTGCTATTCCTGAGTACTCAGGTGTAGAGATGGGCAATCCACCTGGGTGGTTTAAAGTCTGGTGGGTAAAAACCGGGTGTTTTGGGTTTATTGGGTTTAAACCCCATAAACACCCAAATTTTTGGGTGTTTATGATTTTGTACTTCATCATCGTCATCTCAGCCGCAAGACGTCCACTATACTGGACATAGACAATATTATTATGCAGCCTACAGAATAAAAAACTTTTAATTTGATTTTGAGTTTATTAAGAAAGAGATGAAAGTAAAATGTAAAACTACAGTCAATCACTGTCAGATTCAGAGTTATTACAAGCGATGAATTGTATAGGTTCGATAGGCTCTATTTCGTCTAAACTGTTATGTTCATTTACTTGCTCAATGAAAGCTTCTAAGGTATTTTCTTCATTAAACTGAATGTCCTCGCATTCAGCTTTATGTTTAAGATTCCAGTTATAACAAATGAATGAAATTTTTTCAGTTCTTTCAGTTGTAAGTCGATTTCTTTTGTTATTATGTATGTAGCCTTGGATACTAAAGGAACGCTCAGTGGCTGCCGAAGTACAGGGAGCTGATAGAATACGAATCGCTACTTTGCTTAACTCAGTGGAACCACAAATACCTTTCCACCATATTAGGGGCTCAATGCTATCTAATGAGCTCCATACAAATCCTCTGGCCCAAAAGTTTTCTTTAGCTTTATAACACGCCAAATCTGCCATTACATTTGACAAACTTAAGTGTTGGCTTAAATTGTAGATAAACTCCATACCCTTAAGTTCTTCCTCTTGAGTAAGTTCGACTCCTAGAGTCCTGGGGTCTAGAATATATGCTGCAAAATGTATTGGCCTCATTGCCATATTGCATCTTGAAGATACTGATGTTAGAATCTGCTGTTTGCTTTCTTCGCTCAATGTCGAAATCTCATTTAATGCAAAACGTATCTTAGCTTGTACATCTCTAAATGTAATGTATGTGCGATGCAAACGATTCTGGTCGCTCTCTAAGTAAAATATGCTTTCAGTGACTGGTTCCAAAATACTTATACATTCCCCTGTCTTCGTCCAGAAATCATCACTTAGAATTAAATCTTTAATATCTCTTGAAATTACCACATCTTCTCTAACTGTTAATATTTGCAAAGCTATCTTATTTGCTTTCAAACTTTTTAACGAAGTAACATGACTTCCCCATCTTGTAGCACAAGGCAATTTTAGTGTTTGTGTAGAATCTTCACCCTGCCTTGATTTTATCAACAAGGAACTTAATCGTTGACTCCTTTTAACAGTTTTTATTATATTTATGGCTTGCATAATAAACACAGTTACTTCTTGTATCTTTACAATATCTTGGCACAACAAGTTAAGGATATGTGCACAGCAACCGAGAGGAACAACATGTGGATATTTGAGTTTTGTTAATTCGAATGCCTTTTGTATATTTCTAGCGTTATCGCCAATAAGTACAAGAAACTTATTTGCTCCATACACTTTCATTACTTTTTCAACTTCTTGGCTAAGGTATTCACTAGTGTGAGGATTACTTTCTGTATTCAAACTTTTAACGTATGCAGGTTGAGGTTTTGATATAAGAAAGTTTATTATTCCTTCATTTCTTAAATTAGACCAGCCATCGCACTGAAGGTGTAAGTAACTACAAGCATTTAGTTCCTCATTTAACTCAAAACGCATTTCTCTATATATTTTATCTAAGTATTTTGTCGCTAAAGCTTTACGTGAAGGTATTTTAAATTTTGGTTGCAATTTTTCGAAAAATTGTATCCATAAAGGATGTTGCACCATCGATAATGGCGTCCCTGTTACAAATATAGCTCTCGCTAATTCTGTTTTTATATGATCATCGGTGTCTTGAAACTCAGCATTTATTGTAGTGTTAGCAGACGACGAGGGGCTTATAAAAGAATCATTTGTCTCTATCTCTGACAGTCCAGACATTTTGGTTTTGGACGAGCTATCTTTTATAAGTTTCATAGAGTCTTTTAATGTTTCTGGAGATTTTGGACAAGTGATAAGATGTTGAAGCATTTTGGCAGCATTACTGAATTTGTAGACCTTATTACAAAGCTTGCAAGAAACAGACTTGTTTGGTAAAGTACGGTAGTGCTCCCATATGCGTAAATCTTTAGGTCTCCCCATTGAACCTAAAAAAATGAACGATGATTAGTTGGTCTGACGAAAATTCAACAATAGAGTGCCTATTTTTTTACAATGATTATTTCTTGTTATTTACAATAAATTTATTAAAAAAATAATAAAATAAATACAAAAAACCTTTGTAAAATTACATCTCCTCGGAGGATTAAACGCAGACGCTAGTTTATTATCGTATTGTTCTGTATTTTTCTCAGCAACTTCTTTAATTCGATTAGGTACTTACGCATATTATGTTAAAAATAAATATCTAGTACACATCTTAGGCTATCCACCATTATTATCCAATGACGACTCTCAGCTAACTATGCACTATCATCCAAAATAAACGTGTATGGAAAATTTTATCCCAGTCGGTTGAGGATTGAGGATAATTGCATCAACATACGAACATACCTACATACTTTTATTTACATAACGCAAGCTAAATAAAAGCTTGTAATAATACATCTAATTTTAAGTTAAAATTGTTAAGTGATCATGATATAATTGTATCTTTCAAAAATCCACTTACCTTTAATTATTTCTTGTTAAGTATAAATATTATTTCAAATCTGCTCCCTTAATATGCACTTTTTTACTGCTTTTCCTACCTAACACGTTACCAGGAAGTCACGTTACCAGAGTCAGAGTAATAGTGAACACGTTTGACAGTGATTGTCGTCGCCTCATATTCAGCGTCGACGAATAGGGGAATCCCCAGTCATAATGTATTGCATGCGTGGCGGTCTTACTTCAAATCCATAAACAAAGAGATAATTACAGAACTCGATACTAGATGGCGCTGTTTTTGTTTGAAGAAAGTTTGCGGGCTAAAATACATAGAATTTCATCAATGACTTCCACAAAGAACAACATTTCTGTTTTTTCTAAGTCCGTATCTCTTCCGTATATTTCATAAGATATAAGCTTGGGCTACATTGTTATGCAACGTGATTTTGTCGCTGTCTTGCTAGCAGGGTTGACAGATATACGATTTAAATCGTACTCATACTATTATTTGTCTATTTTTTAATGTACGATCGTAAAGATTATGATCGTAATTCGCACAAAAACATACGACTTTTTGGTTACCTGGCAACATTTTTATTATGAAACGAACATGCTCACATCATCAGTCACATGCAACAATTTATTGGGGATTTCCCCTTCACATCTGGCAGTCCTGCTTGCTAGAATATAGGTAAGTCAGCCACAGTTACTGACGATCGATATTTAAAGGGTATTGTTTTTGTGCTAAATATTTCATAAAAACGTTATTTAATACTTTGTGGATTATTAATTTAGTTGATAATCACTGGAAGTAAAATGGATGCTAATTTGAGAGATCAAGATCTTCGTATAAAACAGTTAATAAAAGAAAATCTACGTAAGTACTCTTTTTATACCTAGGTAGGTAAGGTATAATAAACACAAAAGGTAGATCGCGTGTGTTCGAGCATTTATTCTAATACGAGGTCTGTAAAGTTCGTATAAAAGTGTTCTGGAATAATAAACACAAAATGCTTCAGTTCTGGTCTTAGATCGCGTGTGTTCGAAACCCCGTCGCATTTAAGAGCAGCGCGTCGTAATAATAAATTTAATTTAAAATTGTAGAAAGAAAAAATGTCTAAAAAGATTCAGAGAGGGCCGAGAAAGCGTTCAAGATGACCCACGTTCAGGACGTCCTTCCACTTCACATTCCGACGAAAACGAAAGAATCTCCGTCGTTTAAATATATTTGGAACTTCAAATGAAAAAAAATTGCGATTCCGTGAGTTTTTGAGAAAAATTCCAGTGTCCAGATGATTTTTGGGGGACATAAATGAGATAAAAAAAGCCAGCGTCGTCGCAACAAAACGAAAAAAAAGGGGATAAAATTGATTTACCTGAATAATTGTAAAATAAAATTTTTAAAAAACTTTTATACGTACTTTCCGGACAAACCTCGTAAATTTAATTTAAAATTGTAGAAAGAAAAAAATGTCTGCCAAGCCGTAGCCGAAGCCGATCTCCAAATATATTTGGCGATAGTGAGACCCAGTGTCCAGATGATTTACCCAGCGTCGTCGCAACAAAGAAAAAAACGAGGATAAAGTAAAAGAAAATTTACTGAAAGAAGAAACAAACTGTTCTAAATGCTTAATTTATGGAGAAGAGGATAAAAGAAATGAGTATTTCGGACTGTTAGTGGCTCAAGAATTTAAATATATACGGCCATGTGTGCGAACGAGGTGTTATGAAGAAATTTTAAAGTATCTACGGGAAGCAAAAGGCCAACATGTTGATCAACTGCAACATGAAAACACTGAAAATTAATTACTTTCATTTTATTATATATAGATTTTTAAAATTTCCTGAAATATTATTAGTTAACGTTTTATTTAATATTGTAGAATTGATCAATACAATTTATAAAAATAATTTATTGGTATTACTTACATATTTTCAAAAAAATACGTAAAAACCTATTTTTTTGGGTGATTATGGGAGTTTATGGGTGTTTATTGGGTTTTTACCAAAGCACCGGGTTTAAACCCGGTGCTTTGCCCATCTGTACTCAGGTGTTATTCCTCTGTACCCTGTAAATTCACTGACATATGCCCACCCTTCAAACAGAAACACAGCCATGCAAACACAACTGCTTCACGGTAGAAACACGGATGGGACAGAAGTGCCCAAGCAAACGACTTTTGTGCAAAACCTCCCTCTGGTAAAAACGGTTGATAACGACTTATACGATTATTATTACCACTTACTATGTAGTGCGGTTGGTACAGATACAACCTTTATCTGTATTAATGAACTAATGGATTTTTTAATGGGTCATAATGGAATGGTAACCCCGCCTGTGCTATCGGTATACGCTGGCGGGGCACAAGTGAGAGATGATAGGTGAGGATGGAAAGGTAGGCAAATTACCCCATCGTAACGAATTCAACGATAAATTAGTTACGGCGGTTTCCAGGGGGAACCACGTGGATGTCGACTTGATGGAGTATATTGATAGCAATGGAGACTAACCTCCCCATTACCAACAATCCCTTCCCCCCACTGACAATCCCTTCCCCCCACTGACAATGCCTTCCCCCCCACTGACCTGCAGTTAGCCTATCCTGATGAATACACCTAGCACGATGTTTTTCAGGAGGGACCACGTGAAGGGTAAATTGCTGGTAATGGGACTAGTAGTTTACATTACTAATCCCCCCTCCCCCCACCAAGGAGTGGGTTACGTTATTTATCATACTGTATACTTATATATTTTTTGTTTACAGGTTGCTAACATTCACAAAGTTATATATAAACAAGTTATTTAATTCAAACTCAAATGGAAGTATTCAAACTGAGTGTGCAAACGGTACGAGGTGAGTTTTCTGTCTGTCCACTGCTAAACATAAGCCTTTCCCATAAGGGGAGTTTTGCCAGTAGTTGCCACGTTTGGCAAGCGGGTTGGCAACCGCAGTGTTTGAATAAAGTGAATATGTGAAAATGTATTAATTGCTATAATACATATATAACCGTATGTATAACCGGAATTCTATTAATTATATTTGTTGTTTCCGACTATTGTTTCGACTCTTCATATTATTATGAACATTAGTTTTGAAAATAAAACGAAAATAATATATATTTGGTGAAAATGTTTAGTTTCGTTGTTTAGTTACTACGCGCACACACATACACAAGCACGCGCACGCACACGCACGCGCACCCACGCGTACCCATGGGCACCCACCCGCACGCACACACGTATAAGCATTCGTACGCTCACGCGCTTGCGCTCGTACACGCATACTTACGCGCTCGTACATGCACACTGCCGCGTTCGTACACGCACATGCACACACGCACGTATGCTTGCAAGCGCGCACGCATACATAAGTATTATGAAATACACATTAAAAGTCTTAGTAATATAATACTAAAATTTTAAAAGTGTATTTTTAATATTATACTATATTTGAGAATAGGGTGACCATGCGTCCTGATTTATCGTTTCGATTACCATTGCAGCTACTTTTTAATGCCACTTAAAATTTTGTATTACAATTTATGTTTACCGTTGTCATGTTAAGAGTAGGTGATCAGTTACCCTCCCGTTTGAACCTTTTGATGTAATCTGGGATTCTTTTTACCTTTAACCGACTTCAAAAAGAAGGAAATTCTCAATTCGGTTGTATTTTTTTATGTTTGTTACCTCATAAGCCCGTCAGTTCTAAGCCGATTTGAATTTTATCTAAAATTATATATTTACAGATTGGTCCCATGGAAGTTTTATCAAAATCGGTTCAGTAGTTTAATTATTAGAACCAAAATAACTGGTTTTATCAAAATCGAAGTTGTTTTTTTCTTTGGGACACAATCTTTTAATAAAAATGTCGATTTTAGATAGATTATTCTAGAAAAATGTTTAGTTACATGTTTTAAATGAATGCTAATTGATTGGCCCATTGTGATGAATATACCTGGAATTCCTGAGTTTCCAGGGGAGGGCACGTGGAGGTCAACTTGACAGGGTATATTGCTAACAGTCCATATTACTAACACCGAGGCGGGTAGATAGACAAATAATTTCTTTATTCAAATCAATTAATATTATTCATAATTCTTTTTTACATATAATCATTTTTTTTTGAAAATCCGTTATTTTTTCACAAGTACTTGCTCCATGTCACTTTTTAAACTATCATAATTCTTTATTATAGCAAATAACATGCCAGGAATACTACTTTTAATAGGTTTAGCCATTTTAAATCCATAATTAGGAAGAAAAATAAGTGATTACATATGAAAGGGAATCAGTGACACTTAGATTGACAGAATAATAATGTTGCCAACATGAAAGTTTCCAAAAATAATGAGTGACACAACTCACTGGCCAAAACTATAACAAATGCAATATGTGTACTACAGTGATGTAAAAAGGCAACATCTCAGTGAGTTGTTTGTTTAATAAGCAAACGGCTGATTTTCAATTTAAAAAAACGATTCTTAATTTCTGAGTTTAGTTGGCATTTATGGCCTGAAAGAGTTCCCAAAGGGACTATACTGGACATAGACAATATTATTATGCAGCCTACAGAATAAAAACTTTTAATTTGATTTTGAGTTTATTAAGAAAGAGATGAAAGTAAAATGTAAAACTCACCATTTATGTGTGAACATTTCCAGACCAGTTTCCCAGTCAACGCCAGAAAAACAGAATGTACAAAACAATAAGTCACCAACGACAAAATGCGACGGAAGTACAGTAACAGACGAGTTTAGAACACTCTGGCTTCAGACCACGCTCGATTTCATAAAAGACGGCACTCGAACAAATTTAGAATACCCCGAAATGTCCGTGGTACAGGCGGAGTTTATATGCTCTTTGTTTTGGCAGCATTACAGCCCGAGTGTTCAAAAAACAAATATGGCCGACTGTGTGCCAGTGTGGGAGGCTATGAAAATAATCGGTCTCAAATACGAGTTTAGGTTGGCATTTATGGACACGTTCAAGACTGATGCGTTGTAAGTTTGAAATTGTTAGAAACGTGACATGTACTGTATACTTTGTATACAGGGTGGAAGAGACAGGTTGGCCAAAACGGAAGGTGTAAGTAACTACAAGCATTTAGTTCCTCATTTAAACTCAAAACGCACATAGTGATAAATAGCTGATTCCTCCCCATTGAAAAAAAAATGAACGATGATTAGTTGGTCTGACGAAAATTCAACAATAGAGTGCCTATTTTTTTACAATGATTATTTCTTGTTATTTACAATAAATTTATTAAAAAATAATAAAATAAATACAAAAAACCTTTGTATGGCAAATTATAGTTCCACCGGAAATCCACCACGGTCATATAATTAACGATTCTTAATTTTGACGCCGCGCAATGTATTCGAAATTTTACGACGTACTGTGCTCCATACGACGCAAGATATTTACACTGCGCGGTCAACGGCGTTTCTTCGTAGGTAGTTTTCGTACGCTAGTGGCTTTCACTTTACGCAGCTAATTCCGCGAGTCGCGGTATGTTTTTCATACAAATATTACATCCTGGTTTTTGTTATTTTATAGTTTATATTTTATATAGTTTTATATTTTATATTACACTATAAAATATTATTATTTCTTTATATTATGACATAATATCATAGATACATGATTTAGAATGAGATAAAACAAAAAAAAATTTTTTTCGGAAAAAATTACCACTTGTTTTCAGTTCAGAATAATGATGTGAATTCACTGTTTCAGTTTTTGCCAACCTGTCCCTTACACCCTGTATATTAATTAATAGCTATGTCCCAATCTTTCCGACTTTTTTAAAACCACCCCTTTACTACAACTTACCTTTACTACTTACAATCAATAATACGAAAAAAATTATA